TAGGTACTATGTGTCGTTGAGTGGATAATCTTGTACACACTAAAACAAATAAATTTTTTGTCAAGAGGGAGACAAATTTTAAGCCGGCAGATAATAATAAAACATACCAAAAAATATGATAAATATTTAAAAAATTAAAACTATGAATACCAAGTGTTTCCTAATATTTAATTTATATTAAATCGTAACTATTAATAAAATTATTGGCTACGGCTCAAAAATTATAAATGTGAATACGTATATTTTATTAGACACTTAGCTCCGGTAAGTTGTTTATTTTTGTGTTATTAAAGTTTTACTCACTTTCTTTTTTAGATAAAACGATATTGTGCCTTGGTGGACCAAGGTGACATTTTATGTAATACAATTTTGAAGTTGAATTGCTACCCAATACTAACATACACTTAAACGTTTTAACACCTATGTATTGTGTGTAAATGATTTAAATATGAAGTATTTCGTTTCAATAGATATTATAGATGTTTACAATGTTCAACAACTAAAAATAGGTACCAAATATTATACACTTGTTTTAATTCTGGGCATCTGGCTATAACAATGAATATTATTATAGATAGGATATAATATACATGATTCAAATTAAGGTAGAAGTCAATTTGAAGGACACGCCTATCGCCTACGATAAATAGACGTACATATATTTTCCCTATTTAAATATCTTAATGACTCATCAGTTAGTGCCGGGTGGTCAAGTATTCCTAATTACTTATAAGGATAACCTCGAGACGCATTTTTAAGTTGTTTATCTACATATTTTTATTAACACTAAAGTAAATATGGATTTTTATTCTTAAAAATACAATATATCTGTTGGTGTTTTATAGTAATATAAAGTAAGATAATCTTGACCAATAGCAATATAAACCAAAAATAGTACTATAAATTGTTTTTATAAATGCAAAATGCAAAATATATAGAAGGTTAAAACAGGATTTGTATATAACTTCAAGTCCCTTTGTCATGTACGCCAATGATTGTATCGTTATTAATTCCATCAAATTTTGTAAACATTTTTCGGCGAAGAAGACCTTAAAAAAATTTAGTCGATACTGAAGTCAGCTAAAATAAAAATTACCGCAGCAGGTCAATACTATATTTTATAATTCTTAATTTGTACTGTAAAAAAGTTTAAATCCGTAAAACCAATAAAGAATCTATATTGACTGAATTTTCCAACACAGTTATGTTCCATAATAAACAATAGCACAGCTGTTGTATAATGTTATATGTAAAAAGTTGTAAATTAACAAATATCAACACCTATAACTCAGTTTTAAATTGGGAAAAGTACAGGTTTAGGTTCTGCTTCCAAGATACCTACCCTAAATGGTGGATCTGGGCCCATTTATTATTATTTAAATGCATAATTGGATTGATTGATTAAAAAATTGATTTAGACAAATAAATATAATACAATAACAAGATTTATTTAATGCATTTTGACTTTTTTGAACAAAAAACAAACGCCCCCGGGTGGGCTTGAACCACCAACCTTTCGGTTAACAGCCGAACGCGCTAGCCAATTGCGCCACGGAGGCCGTTGAGCATAATTAAGTTAATATAGGTAGATGAATTTATTATAATATTATATTTTATAAATTATTATGAACACACGTTATGCTTACCTACCTAATGTAAATTGCTATTTGTCGATTGCGTAATGTAATCAGTAATAACACTATAATACTACACTTGGGTTTTACCGGCGGTTCATCTTCGTCTATTAATTACGTTCCAGACCAAAGCATGTCTTTCTCTACCAATCTCTATCCTTTATCGCCTTTTTTTTTACCTCCGAATGTACCGCCATCGTTTGCGACGAATCTTTTTTTTTTTTATATTCTTCTAATGGTAATATTTCCTATCTAAATAATTGTTGTGCACCGCGTTTATACCTTGATACGAGCAGCGCGTTCTATTTTTTTTTTATTTAATTAATACAAAAGTGTAATGTTTATATTCATACAATGTCTTAGTAACAGACAAAAACAATTGGTTACAATGTTTGAGTTAACATTTTTAACTTTCATTACTATTTTACGTGGATAAAATTTTAAAATCAAAGTTTTTGCTAACTATTTTTAAAATTATAATTCTTAATTTTTTTTTTTTATTAAATCAATATTACAACAATTGTTCTTAGCTTCATAATAAAATTGTTTTTTTTTTTTTTTTAATGTGTTTACCCGGCAAAAACGTTAAATCAAGTTATGACGCTCCGAACATATTTCGTCAATATAAAAAAACTATCTATATAATACCGATTATTAAATAACCACAAATAATCTACATAAAATCTCACAAATTATTGACAAAACCAAATAATAAACTTAAAAAAAAAATGTATGATTTTATTTTTAATTTGAGACATTTTTCTTCTAAAACATTGCAATTTTGTAGTTTTTTTAAGAGACATTATTGTTTATGTTATTACATAATATTAGACAATATACAAGTATTTATTTTTTTTTATTTTTTTCCAGAACTCTTCAACTTTTAAAACCTAATTGGTAACATATATATATATATATTTAGTACATATATATTTAGTTAACGTTTGAAATTAAGAATAATTTGCTGATCATTTTGACTGATTAATAACCAGTTTTAGATATACTTTAAAAGTTATTAAAGTTGAAACGTAATTATCTAAACTGCCTATCGACCAGTCAGAAGTTTTAGCAAATTATTCTTAATTTAACAAGTTATTTAATTATATACGTTACCATTTAAGTTTCAAAAGTTGATATTGCTCTGGAAAAAATCTAAAAAAGTTAAATATTAAGTAGGTAATTTTATAATATAATAAAAAAACATAAATACAAATGTTTTCAAAAAGAAAAACTAAAGAATTACAATTTTTTCCCAAGAAAGTGTCAGGTTGAATTGATCACTTTGTATACTATAATGTATTGATTGTGTGTAACAAATAAAGAACAAAAGAAAACAATTTTAGACTTGGAACTTGGATGTGTAATTGTCTAGTAATAACGTTTTTAGACTCGACCTCTTGGCGACGAAAGAACCGTCAATTGAATTATTGATCTAGATAAAATAAGACTAAATAATTAACTAATCTTAAGTATAAATAATCATCTTACTATATCCTTAAGTAGTCGATTAATTAAGTTAACTAATTAATTGGTTAGATTATAAAGAAATGAATTGCTTTTTGTTTACCTACTTTTTTAGTAAATACAGAAAAAAAAATGTAGGCCGCAAAGTCTGGCGGTGGTTTTAATCACTATGCATATACTGTTTTATGTTTTTTTTTCTAATCACTATGTATATATAATTTTTTTTATAGGTCATGCTAATTATTAGGCTTGAACTTAATAGCTGGTAAATGAAAGATTAGGAAAAATAACACTATTTCATCAGTATACCTGTTCAGCAAAAAAATCATTTGTCGAATTTTATCTGCTCCATTGGCCATGATACCTACTTTTATATTATAAAGACCTATATTATGCACAAACAAAAAAAACGATTGGTTAAATAAATTATAAAAACGTTTATTAAACAATAGCATTTTCTTGTGCCTTCTCCCACTCAACTCTTTCAAAAGAATCGAACGAAGCCAAAAGACCTTATGTGATACCAGTTACCACTTGAATTTGAAACTGACAAAGTGACTTTACTAGTGTGTTGATAAATTATATAGGTATTCTAAACATAATTTATGTTGCTCGAAATACAGATGTAAGTATATAAATTGTTACATTAATCTTTCTCTGATAAAAAAAAATAACATTCAACAGCTCTTTCCCCTAAGCTCTTTTTAATTGATTATTGTTTTGATTTCGCCAGAACAATTATTATTTAACTGGCTTTAATTAGGTGCTTGTATTTTAAGTGTTAATAATTAGTAAATAGTATAATGACAAATTATTGTAGTGGTTGAGTCAGTAATAATAATATTATAATGCATGATAAATGTGTTTATAATCGTCTTATTAACATTTTTATGGCTTTGCTCGATATAAAGAGTTTAATTAGAGATTTTTTTTTTTAAATCAAATGCTTATACGCTTCGAGGGCAAGAATAAATGAGGCATAAATAATAGTAACGTATGTATTCATTTAAATATTATACTGAAAATAATCTATTAAAAAAAACTCATAACCAACAAAAATATTTTCATTAAATATAAACTACAAAATTACCTCACATAACTATTTTATATCAACAAAAATCACAAAAGTGAATTTTAACAGGTAATATTGTAATATTATTTAAAGAATTTGTTTGAAATATTGTTTTTCTTAAAAATTTTGACTACAGATTTTTGACAAAAAAAATCGTATAGGTAAGTCATAAAGTCACTTTATATTTAAAAATCTACCTTCAGTCTTTCAGTTAACTAAAAAAAAAAATGTCCACTTGTTTTGGTGAAGAGGATTAATAATATTGCCTGGGTTTTCAATGTATATATACTTATTACTATATATTTTTAAAAATATCCCTCATTAGTTTATAAGTAATTCGACTGTTTTTTTAAAAAAACGCTAAATTGCGTTCGAAAAACGAAGTGTACGTTATAAGGTATTTTTTAGGGACAGGAGTGAACTTTTTTAAATTTTGACCCTAACAAGTAGGATTTCTGATCCATATTTTGAGGGTCCAGTCATAAAAAAAAAAAAAAAATGACTGTTGGCGAATAATTTTGCGATATCATATTATCAACCTATTAAAATACTCGTGGTCAGGGTTATTTATTATAATATAATTATCCAGTCTCTAATCGCTATCTAATCTCTTTTCTATCTAGTGTTTTGGAATAGCTTAATAACGGAGTACCTATTATTTTGTAGATAAAAGCAATTTTTATAAAAAAATGATCTAATATTAGTAAGTATGTACGTAAGTACCTATAACGGTCTAGTCCCCTCTTTTCGCTTTTGACCGTTGAACCCCTCTCGAAACCGAGAGAGACGCAAAATAATATTATAATATATTATATTTTTATATACGTCAACATTCAACAGTCGTTTAGTCATCGAGTACCGAAAAATGTGCGTTACCCGCTTGAATTATTTTTCATTTATTTATTATTGTTGAAGAATATAAATTATTATAAAATCCGCTACTAGTGAAAACGGTGACTAACGTTTATAATAATAATATAACAATTATAGGTATCTACCTTTTTTTTTTTTTTATTAATATATTTATATTATAATTATTATCGACCTAATGATAAATCGGAAAAAAAAATAACAACCATATCTAGTCGATAACATTCATTCTATTTTCACTCAAACTGCCTATAATTTTTTACGGTTGAGACATTTTTTTTTGTTATTTTTTTTTTCAGAACTGCAATTATTATTGCAAGTGACATTTAATACCTACGTTTTTCGATTAACGGTTTCGTTCTGCTCCGTTTCTGCCGGGTTTATGTAATAAAAAAAATATATATATTCTTATTTCTTAGTGAAAGACATTCGTTTCTTATCAGACAATTGTCTTATCAGTTGTTTAATGAACAAAATAAATTGAGTACGGAAAAAAAATAAAAATTAGAAGGCGCTATTAATTAAATAATTTTGTACACTAAATAATAATCGAAGCCGGTGACTAAAAGTATTATTGTTTTATAACTAGAATAACTTTGTCGTCGACATTTCCAACCAGAATTCGACCGCATGCAGTGTCACACGAGCAGAGTGTAGCCAAAAGATCGACCAGAATGATTGTGTTCCATTAAAGAAAAGAAAAATAGAAATTACTACTTGATTAACAATCACTCGAATCAGGTATATTAAACCGTTAATATTGTGTTAGTAAATTGCCGTGGATTTGACGGCCTCGGTCAGTGCCGGAGAGCGAAGTACCTACCGTTTGTAAGCGGCTGGCCGACAACCCGACCGTGAGTTTTTGATACGGTACATTATTATATATTTTTTGTAAGTATATACTTTACACATAGCACGCCAATTCATTTGTACACCTACAATGTATTAACGTTTTATTTTTAAGATTATTATCAACCGCCGTCTGTTCAAACTCCAGTACATTATGTTGTTCCAACAGACAATTGCGTTTGCCGTGTTGATCTTGGCGCTCGTCACAAGACCAATAGACGGTGCTGCAATAGGACTGTATGACGAAAGCGACTATTTGGTCGTGCTGGACAACCATAATTTTAACGATACCTTAGTGAAAGGCAACATATCGTATGTGATAGAATTCTACAACGCTTATTGTGGACATTGCATTCGATTTGCTAGCACCTGGAAAGAATTTGGTCTCGAAATAAAAGGTAATTTATACTAGATGAATAACACTTGTATGAATATCGTAGGGTTCTTTTTCACCGTTAGGTATAGAAATTTGTGTGCACCACAAACAGGCATTTTAAAAATAAATTTTATGTGTTTACATACTTTTATTATTAATAATTGAAAAGCATCTGTTCTTCATTATGCTTGTGTGTGAAAAAAAAATATGTATGTATATAATATGATATGACACAACATTTTTAGTTTAACACCAGTTGATAATTAGCTTAAACGAAATGGTAATTTACATACAGCTTGTAGTTGCCAGAAGGGAAATTAGATTTTTCTAAAAAAAGAAAACCAACTAAAATATAATTGTCGATAATCAGTTCTAGAATAACTATTATTGATATAATACTATACAGTGATTTCTGTATTACATTGCTGTCAATAAAATAATGAAATGCCTACTCCTTTTCTAATAATAATTAATTGTGCACTTTAGAACTGTTATCAACCACACAACTGCATTATCGATGTCATGTTTGTCTAGTCATGGAAATATTTTACCGAGTAATTTATCTAAGTAAAAGATAATGTTTTCTTAGAAACTACATTGTTTTTTCTTAAATCTAAGCTTTGCTTGTATAATACATTATTATATTTATTACGTTTAGCATTAATGTTCTGTATAAACAGTCCTAAACTAGTCGAGACATACCATCTCCCGGCACAAACAGTACCTTTTCATCGTCATTAGTTTTATAAAATGAAAAATCAATTTCATAAAAACCTGTTTCAAAACTGTTTCTAAGATAGGAACTTTCAAAAATATTAATTGAACTTTTTCCAGTTTTCTCAACTTAAAAACTGAGCAATAATATATTGACCATTTGTCGTATTATAGGATTAATTTGATTGCAAGCAAACTTAGCTTATAAAAGAAACTTATAATAATTTTGAGAAAAAAAACTAGTTCCATACATTGTGTAAATACAATTTTATTTTTAATGAAATAAATAAAATTAGGTTAAATATAATATATTTAAAAAATATTTTAAACGAAAATGTTACATTAAACATTTTTACCTCTTATTTTTTCAATTTATTATTTAATAATTTAGTAAGTTATGTGTAAATGAATAAAAGCACTATGTAATTAAAGTCACCGTTTTTCTAAAAATATCTATATCTCATACAGTTGTTGTTTAAGATGTTAAAAATAAACTCGTATTTGTGTTTTCATATTGAAAAGTCGATACTGAGATTACTCGTTATCTAAAAGTTGTTTAATACAATATCAGTTCTTTTAGATAAAATGTTGACCTTTTGAACTTGTTTTATAATAGAGTTCTGGGAAAAATTTATATCTTGCTTTATAACTAAAAAAAACGTCAAGTATTTATTTTTATTACCAATTAGACAAGATTTATAAGCATGAGGCGCTCAAAAATCATATAGAATGTTAATTATTTACATTTTTTCTTATGCCTATCGGATTTTGATAACAATTAAATCTGATAACTGAACATAGAAATCTTTTACTTTCAAGTATTTATATACCTTCAATAATATATTGAAGGGAACATAACAACTGTATTTTGTAGTTTACCTGCTCAATATAGTTTTATAGTTCATAAAAAGTCGTTTACGTTATCTATTTACATATAGGGTCTCAACTCTCATTATATATAGGATTTAAAAAAAAGTTTAACTGATTTTTTGATGATTTATTACAATTGTAAAAATATAACTTTTTATCTTTTTAATTTTTATCAAACAATAATAATTTTACAATGTTGTATTTTTCTTTCATTCAAAAGTCAGATTTAGGGGGTGATGGTAACATATGAAACTTAAATAGTAACGTATCCGTTTAATTCAATTTTAAATTAAGAATAATTGAGTGAACATTTTAAATTGCCGATGATCTGTTTTGAGTCATTCCATTTAATGTTATTAGAGTTTAAATTTAAGGATAGGAGGGAAAGTGCGGTTGATTAATGCGCACAAATAAAAATAATACTAAATAACACTCCAATTTTCCTCCAGTTTTTAATTTTAAACGATAGTAACTTAAGAAGTAAAGATGATAAAAATAATTTAGGAGTGCCTTGATTGAATATGACCAAACCCAAAATAAGGACTATACTAATATTTATGAATGAATAAAATAGCATGAAAATCTTTCCATTGTTTGCCAATCACATTTTACACATTTTTACAAAAAAACAAGTTTCAGTACATTTTTAATGTTTTTTTTTTTTGTTAGAGTAAACTTTGCCAGGAATTTAACACAGACCCTTGGTAATTTTTTTTATTGTTATAGATTGGAAAAACTATGTTCAAATTGGTGCGATAGACTGTTCGAATGCCGACAACAGTCAGATATGTCGTGATTATGAAGTCATGTACTACCCGACGGTGCGTTATTTTCCTCCACATCCGCCGTACGCTAGCCTAGGAACGGAATTCAATAGGCCGTCGATGGTGCGTGATTTGAAACAAGAACTTGTCAAGCATCTTGCGGAAAGTCAAAAGTCAGAACGATTGACTTATTTATGTGACCTTCAGCCGTACAAAGAAGCTTCGATTGTGTCGAAAAATGAAATGCATCAAATAACATTTGTGATAGTGGATACGCCGGAAAATTATTTGGCTCGTGAATTAATTATTGATTATTGCCCAGCCAAAAAAGTTAGAATTGTGCATGCATTAAACACCAATGAACCTTTGTTAAGACAAATGAATCCGACAAAATTTCCCAGTCTTTATCGATTGGAAAATGACAAATTTATATTTTTGACAAGCGGCGATAACAAAACAAATTTTGTCCAATTCATCAATCAGAATTTGATTACAGTCGATATTACTCCTATGTATCATAAAGATTTGACTACTAGACGCAACGATTTGTTGGCAGCACCCAGCATAGACAAAAAGCTAGACGTAGATGCGGTTTACTTGTCGGACTTGGAAGCTACATTGAGTTATTCGTTGGAACATGAAATTATTACACGTAGTGTTATATCCAAAGACGCTCTGTCAGCTCTGAAGAAATACTTAGAACTCCTTACAGAGTTCTTCCCGTCGGGGCCGAAAGGTAAAAAGTTCGTTTCGATGCTCTGGGAGAAAATAATGTACAAAACTACAGTGAAAGGGACAGACCTTGGCGACACTGTCAACAGCTACGAATCAAAGTTGAATCCTTACGTCACGACACGCTCGTGGTTGGCGTGCAGGGGAAGCCAACCCATCTACAGAAAATATCCTTGCGGCCTCTGGACCATGTTCCATACGCTCACAGTGCAAGCGGCCAACAAAAATGCGGTTGAGTTTTCCGGCAAGGATGTCCTTAAAGGTATTGCTGGCTACGTCAAACACTTTTTCGGTTGCACTGACTGTGCAGAACACTTTTTGCAAATGGTTTCCACCACACAGGGTAACGTATCAACATATGATGACGCCGTGTTGTGGCTTTGGAAAGCCCACAACCAGGTGAACCAACGACTTGCCGGCGACGTGACCGAGGATCCGATGTTTCCGAAAATACAGTTTCCATCGCAAAATCACTGCAAGAAATGTCGTTTGGACAACAATGGCCAACAGTGGAACGAAACTGAAGTGTTACACTACTTGAAGGAAAAGTACTTGAAAATCAATCAGCAACGCGAAGATGACGGTTTATTTCAGAAAGAGCCACAACACGTTTGGGTAAATCGCCAAGTAGTTGACGACAAAAATTTCAATCTGATTGACACAGACAATTGGAATTTGGACATTAACACCTGCATGATATCGTACGTGTTGTCATGTACAGTGTTAATTATATTGTTTTATTTATTGGTGGTGAAGAAACAGTGTAAAAAAAACAAGTACAATATATATTACATGTTGGGTAAAACCTCATTGAAATAAAATAATTTTTTTTTTTAACGAAACCTGTATATATATATATTTTAATGTTAACTAGATATGATGAGTACGTGTTGAATAGATCGATTAGTACCTAACAGCGCGTTATGTTATGATTTAAGCCAATTTGGATGTGATTTTGTTTTTTTTTTAAATTTTTTTCCTTATACAATTATTATATTATTGGCGGAATTTAAAAAATATTTTTACGTTAGTTGCATTAATTGTGATTAATCCTCCTATTTAATTTCATAATTGCATTTTGTTTAACCTGATATAATGTATAATATGATAGAACAAAATGCACATTAATATTTTTATATATCGTTTATTATTATTATTATTGTTTTTTTTTAAAATATTATTACATAATTTGTAAATTACAATTGTTTTTTTTAAATTTCTTGTTTTTTTATAAATTTGTTTTTTTGTTTTGTTAATTGGTCAGGGTTTAACAAGGTATACACATAAATAATGTTACTATTAGATGATAAGCTTAAACAAATTGTATTTTTGTAAACAACTATTATATTATGAACTCCCACTTGTAATAAAATGTGTTATTATGTCTACGTAAAATCAAAATTTTAAATTATATTACTAAGGTAGTGCAGCCGATCGATGAAAATTAAATTTAAAAATATATTATATAAATTGAGAGTAGCATTTATCAAATATAAAAAAAACGTTTCATTTATAAATGTGGTTGAACAAAAATCAATCTTAATATTTTTTTATATTATAAAATACTAATATATTAATATTAATATTCATAATTTGTTATTTGTGTTTAACATTATTTTTAATTTGATAAATAAAATAAAATAAGTATATATATTGATTATAGATAAAAAAGAAAACATTTAGATTGGTTTAAAAACGCAAAAAATAATCTTGACTAGCTATTTGTAATTTTTTTGTTTTTCTTGGATAGTTTAAACATTGGATATGTTATTATTATTTAGACATTAAAAGAAATAATAAATCAAATAGTACGACAAAAAAAAATGTATAAACAAATGTCGTGTTAATAAATAATAAATAACAAATCATTTAAAACAAACAACGAATAACATAATAATTTTGACAATATTTGAATAATATATATATTAAGTAACAGATCAATCAAAACCCTGCGCTAAAAAGTGCAATAATTACTGGGTGCTGGTAAATTGATTTCCAAATTAATTTATGGTTTTTCAAAAACGGTGAACTGAGTCGCAGAATTAAAAATGGAAGAGGTAAGTCGTGTCCCACGTACAATGTCTTTGTTAATCTAAAGATTATAAAAAACAAAATTCGGTCGAAAGTAACTTTTTAAAATTATTTTTTGGTTTTAAGTCGAAAAGATGTTAATCGTTGTTTCGTTGAAGATTTTATACCCAGACTGCTTGCAAGTGACAACAACAAATTATTCACGGATATCTTAAAAGCATGCATAACATCAGATTCTGTATTTACACATAATATTTGAGCTGAATCTTTAGGCAACATCAAACCGTAGGTATAACAAATAGCCGTAAGTCGTTTCACGCGAAGCTAAATGGATTATATTTTTATCCCTAACATACAAATATTTATACTTTTATTGATGCACTCAAAGAAATTCAATCAGTAAGAAGTAAAGAAATATAAAGTAATAAAAATCAAAATACACATTGCCGAAAAAGAAAATATACTAAGAGAACAAAAAACCAAGTTCAATAATATAGGTACCTAATAAAATTAGTAGACTTGAATTTTTAAAGGAAGTAACATTTAAATATTTGCTCATTGAATAAGTATTATATGATAAGATCAACATAAATTTAACTATACCTGTACATAATCTACGTTATAAAAATTGGCAAATTAGCTCCTAAATTATATGAAATATTCTTTAGATAAGCTTCTATCAATAAAATATGTTGACAATATCATAAACCCTTTCCCCTAAAACGGGGAAAACTTTTTTATTTCTTAAGTGTAGCTTTAGGTCTGAAAATTAGACAAAAGGTAAAACTTTAGTGGCGTATACGATTGCCGTTTATTTAAAAAAAAATCTTTAACTAAAATTGTTTTGTATTAAGTAAAAAATCAAAAAAAGGGGAAAATTGCACTGCAGCCGCTTCAAATTACTAGGTTGCTATGTGTGAGTAAATCAACAGTCAACCGGTATTTGAAAATATTTTTAATTTATCTCTAATTACAATATAATATATGAGTAACAATTAACAACAAGCAATCATAGATAGACGATCGACCCCAAAGTGATGCTTTTAAATTCATCGGCTTAATGGTTCAGACAAAAAATAAAAACACATTATGTAAAACTAATTCCTTCTCAGCTGCGCATTTTAGTTAAAATAATTAGTTGATTTTGCCAGTTTTTAATATTTTTTTAAAATAGTATCTGTTGCAACTTGCAACATTCATAACGAATGTGACCTTGTATATAATAATATAGGTAATGGCTTAATTCGAGTAAGTATGACTTGTATGACAACCGCGCTATAAAATAAATCTATTATACCATTTACTAAATACCAAAAAAAAAATGATCAAAAATCTGTTTATAATATATTACATTGAAACTAATTTACTAATTTATGAATTTGTATAGGTAGGTAGTTAACGATATTTTATAAAATTTGAATTTCTTTCAGCAAACATATTTGATATTTTTTATAGCATAGCATTATTGACATTAGAGAACCTACTAGTGTATGGCAAATTAAAGGCTATACAAACTGTAGATATAGGCACCTATAACTGCGTATATTACTTTATATACGTCATGATATTTTTTTATATATATATCTATAAACGTATATACACAAAATTGTAAAACTGTGTTAATAAAAAATTAACAATTAATGTCGAATGTGCGGATCATACACAAATTATATTAGTATTCATATACCAGCCATTGTCCAAATTGCATGTAGGCAACAGTGACTCTTCCAATGATATAACAGCTATGTAAACCAACTATGTTCTCTATAAAATCCTTATTCAATAATTAGTTTTGAATAAATACTTTTTGAGTTGTTAGCAATTTAAAGTTTAGATGTGAAAGTAAATAGCGCTGCGGTCTACCTCACCATTAAATGCTAGTAACTTAAAAAGTATCTATTTAAAATTGGTTAGGTTAGGTTAATCAATTATAATATAGGTTAGGTAATTTTTAGATAGCCCCTCATTCCTGTTTTGAGATTGTCAGGAATAACGTAAATGGTGGATCTGAGCCAAATTTATTTAAGTTTAAATCAAAACTGGATTGTTTTATTAAAACATTAAATTAAGCAAAAAATATAAACTAAATCTCTTCATTTCTCGATGGCTCACACTTGGGTTTTACCGGCGGTTCATCTTCGTCTATTATGTTCCAGACCAAAACATGTCTTTCTCTACCAATCTCTATCCTTTGTCTCCTTTTCTTACCACCGAATGTACCCAGGCACTTCGCAATCATTGGCAACGTGACAGCTCAAATAGTCCTTACTTTCTCCCAACGTCGTCATGCATCATTACATCAACCCTTTTATCCCTCGAACTGTTTGGTTCAATGGCCATTTAATTTTGTATCTACTCCGTGGTTTTGAGTTTACCTAGAAAATAAAACTGCCCAGAGACCCCAATTTGTGGTAAGGATCTAGGCCATACATATTAAAACTTATATTAGAACCTGATTGTTTGATTTAAAAAATAAAATTCAACAAAAAATCAAATTTACAATATATTGATATTTGATGAATTTTGAGCATTAAAAAATTAATCGCCCCCGGGTGGGCTTGAACCACCAACCTTTCGGTTAACAGCCGAACGCGCTAGCCAATTGCGCCACGGAGGCCGTTGAACATTAAATAAATTAATATAGGTAGATACATTTGTTATAATAATATTATATTTTATGAATTATTATAAATACACGTTATGCTTACCCATTGTGAATTCCCACCCGTCGACGGCGTGTACGTCACAACAATGACTGCGTATAATGTTATATAGGTAATACATTGCCCATCTGTACTATATTTATAGGCTATAAGCGTTTTAGTTTCTGTTCGAAGTTGAAATAATATTTGTTTAACAATTACGTGTTTTCATTAATATTAATTTTTCAATGATACATTATTTAACTAAAAAAAAAAAACCCATCTTAACTTAGGTCTCAGAAACTTTATTATTTAACAATAACTTTCCGCAAAATTGTGGAAACAGTTCCAAATTTGTTTGGTGTAACGCAATACAAATTAGTCTTAGGAATTCGAATAGATACCTATTTAAATGTTCCCATTCAAATAAGTTGTAGCCAATAGTGGGTCACATAAATATTAGCAATTGCGAACTGTTAGCATAACAGCCAACAGGTGAATATGATAACCATGACAACGCATTCCGACAGGTCAGGTTTGAAATCGTTATGAAATAAAACCATGATAATAATTAGCCACAAGGTATAGCAGGTGAAATTTTATGTAATTAATACAATTATTGACAGCTAAGGATTGACTAATTTGTAAACATGCCGTTGAGTATGCATTCTTACTAGGTAACTTATGAATGCTAATTAGTTACAGCCTACAGTTGCGTCTTTAGGATCTATTCGACTACAAGAGACTACAAAATAAAAACAACGACAACCGTTTGGTAAAAAACTAATGTCGGGATAAAATGATATTGAAATTTGATGAATTTTAAGCATTAAAAAATTAATCGCCCCCGGGTGGGCTTGAACCACCAACCTTTCGGTTAACAGCCGAACGCGCTAGCCAATTGCGCCACGGAGGCCGTTGAACATTAAATAAATTAATATAGGTAGATATATTTATTATAATAATATTATATTTTATGAATTATTATAAATACACGTTATGCTTACCTATTGTAAATTGCCATCCGTCGACTGCGTGTACCTAATAACAACGACTGCGTAACGTTTATTTATACTACATTGTCCAACTGTACTATAGACTATACCTAAAAGCTTTAAGCGTAAGAAAATTCCAATTAAGAGACTGATGATGACCATGTTGATAATAATATTGCGCCAAAAAAACACAAAATATTGTGATTTGTGTGTGAAAAACGATAATGAAAATGTTTCAATTTAGTAAATACTAGACTTACTTTTAGTACCTACAAACTAATTTCAGTAAGTTATTAATAAAAGTTTAATAATATTGAAAAATCTACATTTATAGCTACATAAATAAAGCCAACAGGGAAATTTATAAACGATAAATAAACGGAAAATATTAAAACGGATAAAGCATTATCACCATTATAAACTAATGGAGGTTTCTGTATTTTTAGTAAATTAAGACTATCAGTATGATTTCAATATTTGTTTCAGAAGGACTGAAAGTAATTTTTTTTATTTCTGTGCCTACTTCTTTTTTGGCTGTTTATATATATTTAGTGTAAATTAAAACATTATACAAATGCAACATTACTAACATTGTAAAAGCAGTCGAGAAACTCCCTCAATCCCTTAACTTTTACACAAACTATTAAAATAAAATTTAATAACAAATATTATTGTTGTTACTCTTAAAATAGTTGTTTTTTTTTATTTAAGAAAATTATACATAAGTAAATCGGTTCCGATATTAAGTGAACAATTATTTTGTAGTGAAGCTACCATATAAAAGCTTAATAGAAAACTTAAAAAAAAACTGTTTTAAATAGGTAACTTCTATAATTAAAATTGTAGTGTAATAGTACCTGAATAACTGCTAAAATTTAACACTGTTAAAGATACAATAAATATTTGTTATGTATTTTTCGCACAGCACAAAAAGTTTTTTAATATTTTTTTAAATGTAATTTAGATATTTAAGTGCTTTAGAAATATTTCGTTGTTGTTTACTAAATTAGTTTGGTAAATTGAACATATTGTATGTACGTAATAATAATTATTAATGTTTTATTCTTACATATATTCTAGCTCTATTTATTTTTTCAGGGTCAATTTAGTGTTAGGCTAGACAATTGAACTAGTTTAACAAAGATTTTATAACTTTGCGTTAAATGTATACTAGGAATAAAAGTTTTTTTTTAAATTACATAGTTTGTTTATTTAGTTGCTGTGTAATAGTTTTGTGTTTTATTTTTTACACTATTGACATAGTCTGGATATTGGCTTTATAGTACATACCAATGACACCAAACATTTCAATAAATAATAGAAATCCAAAAAGTAATTTATTCCCGCGTATAAATTAAAAATGAGTCCCCTAAAAAAAAATTAAATATTTTTTGGCCTACATATCTTCTACAAAATATTGAGTTATTAGCCCATTAACTGTTTACATACAAATATATTTTCAATAAATAATTGCAGGTAAAGTAGTTTCCATTCAGATTAGAGGAAACGTTCGGCGAGTTATTATAGTACTAAATTGTATAAAAATATGATTTTCCATTGGTTATTTATTATCGTATTAATAGGAGTTGCACAGGTAAGACTACGATAATTTCATTTGTATAATTTGTAATTTTTTTTATTTTTTCATATTACAGTTAATTAATATATTTTTTTTTTTTATAATCGAAAAAGGGTCTTTTTTGAAACAAATGCAAACACTTTGATTTAACTATTAAATAAACAAGTCGGTCGTTCTAGTTTTGAAACTTTTTATTCGCAATATGATGTTTAACAAAAAAAAAAACGTTAAATCCGATTTCAGTAGTTGAAAACTTCACAAACAAAGTAAAATACATTTGCCTGACTTTCGATCGAAACCAAAAATAAACTTAACCTACTTAGGAGAATACGACCACTCCGCGATGTTACGGTTAACTTTGACTTAACGAGCATTGGCTTAATCAACTTTAAAGTTATCAAGGTGTACACGGTTAATTTGGTGTGCGCTTGATTTATTTGTAAAAGTAATGAACGAACAAGCACGTTTTGTTTAATAAGTTAAGTTTTTCAATAGCATGGAAACGTACTTTCTCTGTAAGCAAAAAATCAAAATTATAGCAGATTGTCAGAATTTTCACTAAAACATAATTTTACATATAATATGTACATTAGGGTGGTCCTTAAATTGTACATGGCGTTAGATGGCCGTCATTCGGCTCCGAATACTGGAGAAATATTTCTCTAATTTTTTCAGATTTTTATTTCAATCTCTTGATCTCTCCGTTTGCACATCAAATGTATACTGTCACTCGGCAGGGCCCGGCAAGGCGCGCAGCAACCGAGCCCGGCCGGGAGTAAAGTACTTAAAATTTTATAAAAAAAAAAAAATAATTAGATATATTTTAATTGTTTTGTTTTAATACGTATCTAATTCGGTAAACAAAATAGGTACCTATTTTTTAACTCATTAATTTAAAATTTAATTTGTATTGGAGTTTTTACTTACCTTGTTAAAAAAACGTATTTAGTTAATATTAATGTATAAAGATAATTTTTTCATCTTAATTGGTCTTTGATAATGGAATAATTATAATTTTTTTTAAATAGAAAACAAAACACTATCCTATACTATTATATATATATATATACATGAATTAGCAATCCTCTTTAGATTAATACGGAAGGCGAGTGATTATAGTCCATGTATAAAATAATGCACCGCTAAAGTTTATTTAACTATTAAATAATTGTTTTAACTTTGTTAACGAAGCAACAACGATTTCGATTTACCCAGTTTATTAACCTACACACTCCTTAAAGGACAATTTTTGATTCATGCCAAAATAATAATAATAATTACACATGATTTTCCATAGTTAAAAATATACCATTTTAATTGTTTTAAAATGACCCAAATAAGAAATTTTGATTTTCGTAGATTAGTTTGATTTTGAAAAAGGTTGAAACACGAGTGCCAAGATTATGTGTGGAGTAACCGAAGATTTTAGGGTTAGAGTAGGCGTGCGCCAAAGTTCTGCTTTGATCTTTTACCTGTTTTCTTTTGTACTGAATGAAGTTACGAAGGAGATACCATAGTGTAGGAAGTTTACAGATATTGAAGTTTTGTAGGTGAAATTTTGGAAGAAATTAGCAATAGGTTTGAAAAGTGAGGAATAGCATTTAAATGAAAGAAACGAAGGATAAGTAAAACTGAAAACGAATATATAGAGTATGGGTTTGGAGGAAAGAATGATAATAATGTGGTCATATAGTTGGCGAGGTTGGGAGTTTTAGGTATTTATAATATTTTGTACAAAATAACCGTATATTTTGATAAGAACGTAAACAATATAATTAAGTGTGGTTGGGTTAGGAGAGAAGAGTTAGGTATTTTATGTGACAAGAGAGTTCCAATGAGACGTATAGGTAAGTTCTACAAGACTGTGGTGAGACCGACTATATTGTATGGATCGGTGTGTTGGTGGAGATGAGAATACTTAGGTAAATGAGTGGAGTGTCAAGAAAAGATAGGATAAGGAACGAATACGTAAGATGTAGCAAAGGCGTGGCTTCAATAGTGGACGAAATGAGAGAAAAATAGATTGCAATGGTTTGATCATGCCATGAGTAGAAATAAATCGTAAGCAGTATAATGGACAATGTAAATAAATGCAGGATGAAATAGGGGAAAAGGAAAAGTGAAAAAAGGTGGTCTGATGCGATTGAGCATGATATGAAGACTGCTGGTGTATGCGAATATGACGTGGAAGGTCATGTTGAGTGAAGGTTTAAGACAAGGGTGGCCCAAATAAGGCAAAGGTGATGAAGAGGAGTCTGGATTTAAATTCTGAGCCAAGATTCTAGTTTATATTTATACCTTGCCACTAGGCTTTGAATGAAACCACGATGGCGAGTAGGAAGTTAGTACTTTATGGAAACGTTGGCTTATGTTGGTGTACCGTATGTTTTAGTGTGACAATGACGTATCCGACTTGGAAGCATTTGAACCGGAACAGTACGAGGGCTATGGTTGTCATTGTCCCGTGGAAGCAATCATGTATTACTCCGTTTCGGTTCGCACGGCTTACACGGCGTCAGTGTTATCGTTGAAGTCATCAGGTATTGACATAAAGAGTGGATTTGCGGAACTCGATGACGATTCATCCGATTGGCTGACGAATATCATAAACACCATCAAAGAAGCATATCAGGAGTTCAAAGCAGTCATACATAGGTTGCTGCAAGACCTGCAGTCAGAAATTGATGAGCTAAACAGCGCTGTGTTGTATATGGCTTCCAAGTTCTACAAGAGTGACGTAGTCGTCGTCAAGACCGAAACGTTGGTGGGTGAAGCCAGGGACGTGGCGGAAGCGGAATCGCGACTGACGGCCAGGAAGTTGGAATCGGCATACGCTAATTTTAAAACCACCATAGACGAGCTAAGAACAGAGTTCCAAGGCAAATGTGACTCGATACCAGCCGAATACGGCACGGACGAATACTACGATGCCGTCATGGTGCTGTATGTAGACGCCAAAAAGAGATTAATGCAAATTAATGATCTGTACGGAGCGTTAAGAGATGCTTTTTTACTGGGCGCCAAAATAAACAAATGCTCCGGAACCTCTACCACTGATCAGTCTTTGTTGGTAAGTCATCATTGATTTTTTTATCGTGAATATGTTTTATGGCTGGTCTTCGGTTCAACATGTCCATAACACTTTTCAGTAAGATTAAAATTTATCCTATTGTTGACCTATAATGTTTTAACCGATGTGCCTCCTATCACCCATTCTTGTCTTTTATCACTTATCCTTATTATAAGCCACATAATACCACACTATAAACACAGAATAACTCGAACAGTTAGTCAATGAGAACTTTAAATTAGTAAAATTGTTGAGCAAATCAGTGTAGCTAGAAATCAACCATAATTCAAATTTCTTCTTTACTGCCAAAATGGATTTCACACATTTACTAGTTAGGAAATTTTATCTTAATGAGTGTGACACATTTTATTAACCATAGCCTGCTATCCATATCAATGTTCAAATAAGATTATGAGTAAGTAGGTGCAATTAAACATAATCATGATTCATAATACACATGTATGTTTTTCTTTGAAAAGGAAGATATTTTTTCCATTCTCTGTTTCTATTTTTTTGGTTATTATTTCGTTGTATTCGAATTAACATCTAACTAGTTTGTTGTTAACTTAACTCATGCTCATACCCGGTGTAACATTAAAAATATTATATGACCTGATTTTTATATACTCTTGTAAGCACAAGTTTATGACGAGTTCTAATTATTTATCAAATCTTTAATAAAATAAGCATGCTTGATTTTACTGACTGTGGCACAGCAAACTCTACCACTATGAAACTATTTTGGTTATACAAATTCCTTTATAATATAATAATGTATGGACGTTTATTAATTTCAGGGAATTTATGATGTAGACGATTTAGCAGAATACTTGAAAGTTACTGATAAATGCCCAGTGACATTGCTTAAGGCAACTGTTACTTACATGTACGAACTATACGAATTAGCTTTAACACATTTATACCTTTCGGGTACTGATAAATCAGAAGAGGAATTGGCTCTTAAAATTTTTATTTGGGAACAAATGAACTTAGTCAAGACTACCACTGATCTTATGTACCAGGAACTGGATTGTTATATTACGTATACAAAAGATAAAGCGATAGAGACGTTTGGGGAAAATTCTGATGAGTACAATCAAGTAATGAGCAAATTGTTTGTTTCAGTTAGCACTAGCCTTATTACAATCATAAAATGTACACGTGTAAATTACGAAAGAGCCATCAATTACAGCCCTGATGGAAGCATGATGTCATCAAGTCAAAACGTAGTAACGAAAAATATCGATTTGCTCTATGATGGAAATTTGGTGTCGAATCCTCGTCTAACGACGTACGACTACCGTTCATTAACTATGACGGGAAAAAATAATGGAAACAACGGATTGGTTTCGGGTAGCGGCGTTAATAAAGATGGACAAAGTACAACACCATCTAGTATTAATGGGGGCTATTCCCAAACTGACGGGACGCAGCCAAAAACTGTAGGAAATACACAAGTAGACAGTAGTTTACAACCATTGATGATAAACAAATGTATACTGCAGTCCGTCGTGCAATTATTAAGTAATATGAATACACAAATAGACACAACTGTACCCAGCGGAGAAAATGATATAGAAGCTTGGATCTTTAATCAGATTACCTTAAGAGAATTCTACAGTTCTGTTATAATAATAAAACAGACAGCTACCATGAATAAAATATACATTGGTAGTTCTGAGGTTTACTTGTACATCAAATTCCAAAGCTTCGATTCCCAAGGCTATACAGACAGTTTGCAACCGTATACGAATGACATACTGGCATCATTAGAAACAACCATATCATACATGAACCAACCGATGAGTAAAGTTGACGATCAGATAAATCTACAGAGTATCAACGCTGGTACTCCGTCCACTCCGTATAACCCGGGTCAAATTACCATGAGCAAGTCAAGAAGCCTACAAAATACAGATTCTTATGTGTCTGGGAGACCAGAGGACAATGGCAACAGTGGTAACTACAACAATAACGACGATCAACTGAAATCCCAGGCCACCAAAAACATGCCGGAAAAAGATGATTACAGTGATAATTCCGGCCAAAACACTAATGGCGGTCAACTGGGATCCACGACCACGCAGAACATGCCGGGAAATTATGATAGTCGCCGTAATAACAATAATCCGGGTACATCGAGATCGAACTATTCTAGCAGCAAATCGTATACCATCAAGTCTACGGAATCGATTACACAGACGATCGAGTCTTTTGCGACTTCGTTCTCCCACAAATACTCGACGCTGTCGACCAAACTGTCATCGGACACGGACCAGACGGGGTTCAAAACGGCCGTCGTGAAATCGCTGGATATAAGCAAAGATATGTTCGAGTACAACACTAAGTATCTGCAGAACACTTGTGGAAAATGGACGAGTTACATCGACCAGACCGTGTCGGCCAACTCGCCGGACTACTGGAGCGCCATTAACAATTTATACGTTGACATGGAGGAGAGAGAAGGCGTGTTGATGTCTTTCAGCGAGATCCCGTTGAAACGCGCCATGGCCTACTCGACCGGAATCAACGAGTACGTCCAAATCGTACAGACGGTGACCTACGAGAGCTACGTGAAAGAATTCTACGGGTTTTTCCAATCAGAGATCCCGAATACCGATGACGACGACGATGACGACAGTGACGATGCCGATAACTACCTTGCGAACAGCGCGACGAAATTCACTCAGATCTTCACGGTGACCCGAGACTCCTTGTCTCAACTGCCTGCGGACGACGGTTCCAAGGAGCTGCTCTTGTGGCAGCTAGAACAAATTTTCGCCATGTTCAACGAAAACGTGACCAACTTGAAACGACAAGTGACCGAATTGAAGGCCATCCTTGGCGATAGTCCGTCCAGCCTGAGGGCGCTGTACGTGGAAATCAAACAGCGCACGGAAACGCTGATCGCCGCCGTTTCCGGTTCGTTAATCAAATCGTACAGCTATTGCAAGAGCACCACCGACTTTTCCGTTTTTGAATCTGAGACCACGCTCATCATAAGCGAGTCGTCGTTTACCAGTAGCTACTCGTCGTCTACCAGCTACTCATCATCTACCAGCTACTCGTCGTCCACCAGTTACTCGTCGTCGACAGCGGTATCCCAGGAAACCGAAGAATCGGTCCAGGCCACAGGGCAAGTCCAGATCACCGAGCAGAGTGTCACAGAAACGACGATTTCAACTTGAGTCATTACACTGTATGTTGACGGACGAATCACTAAAAAAAAAAAATACATTCGATAAAATACAAATAAAAAAAACAAACCAGACTTCCAATTAGGTCATAAAAATTAAACAAATAACATTATATTCGTTACGCCGTAGGTACACTTGAATAATAATTGAAGAAAAAAAAACATTCGAAATCAATTCGGCACAAACAAATGGTTATTGCATAATGATAATTATTTTTAATGTGTAATTTTGTTAACAAATGTTTTTAGACTTGAAGTTAAATAAAAATTCACCCGTTTCAAAAGAGCTATGTATTTTATTTGAATAAACATTAAAATCGTTGTACGTCATTTACATTTTTTTTTTTTTTTACATTTTTACATTAATTATACAGAGTTAAGGATAAGATACTCATTTTCTCCTAAAATGATTACAATTTTGTAAAAATAACACTACACTCAACTATTTTTTCTGTCTTAAATTTTCAACGTTAATAACTTGAAAAGTAACTACCTAAAACTGGTTATCGACAATTAATAATTGTCAACAAAATATTGTTAATCTAAAAGTTTAATTAAATATACACGTTTGTTTTAATTTAAAAGGTTAAAAGGGCTCTGGAAAAAATAAAGGGGATTTGAAGTATTTCCAAAAAGAAAAAAATACAAGATAGCAATTATTTTAAAAGAAAACGAATGCTTTGTCGCAAATAAATAACCCTGATTTGGACATTGTTGGGAAAGGTTATGTTTTGATTTTAAAAATCCCGTATTAAGGTTTGAGGGAATCAAACAACATTGATTAATAGTATTACACCAGATAAAAATATAAGTTTTCTTTTGTTGTAATATTATAGTTATAGCCAATGCATATTGTAACAATTGAAGTATAAAATCTAGACGGTATCTATAAGTTATACTAATAATAATAGTAATTTTGAAAATTTAGATATTAGAAATAGTAACTACTAACCTATTGTTTGACAAATTTAAACACTATTTTTAAGAGGTATCTTCTGGTGTTTCTAGCTAGAGAAAAAATAATTAGTCAAACTTTTTTTGTGGTTATGTTGAAATCGAATTACAGAATGAAACCAAAGTGCTTTTTCTTAACAAACTAGCTACTACTGGGGACGTGTTTTGTAAAGTAAGTACTTAAATAAGGATTAACGGGATTAATGGGATTTTTGGGTTATTTAATATTTATATGGTTATAATATAAGGCACGAACCAAAATTATGTTTTTAAAGGGTTTTACTAATGTTTACCCAAATTACTAGGCCACCAGTTCTGTGTACTTAAGTATAATATTTTGTTTTTTAACTTTGACGCAACAACCACAATTATTTTTTCATACAGTATATTTTAGTAAATAATCAACGAGTTTATTTCAATATGTTGTGTAGTTATCATATTACAGTGACTTAAAAGTTTAAAAAATAAATTATTGTTATATTAAAAAAGTAAACAAATATTTTGTCATCTAAAATAAACAAAAATTGATGGCTTTATGTGTAGTAAGACATGATAATGAAAACCAATATACAATTTATGAATGCGTAGTATATAATATAGTGGTTAAATGTTTTTGTTTAACTGTTACAAACTGTACAATTTTACATTAAATACTAAAATAAAATAAGTGTCATATATTTTTATTACTTTTGAGGTACCTATGTATATTATAATGTTCAGCAAACATTCAACTATATCCATAATTACGATCGTTATTAGCGTTTTAGTTGTTTTAACGACTTTTACGGTTTTTACGTATAAAATAAATATATTGACGCCGTACACTAAACATTTTATTTGAATAGTACACATATATATTACGTACACCTGCTTTAGTTCGATATTTTAGCTTTTAAGCCTTGAAATTAGACCTTAATTATAAAAAAAACAAAACTATAATAGTTGTTATCAAATATGAAATAGAAAAAAAATTTAACATTTTCACAAAACCAAATTCTTCGTCGGTTTTATATAGAAGTTTAAAAATATAAGAGGTCCAGAACTTTTTCGTGGTAATCAATCTATATCTAACTTGTTTAGTGTTTATAGTATTCAAATATTATTGTTATTTGTACAAAAAACGTTAACTCACTATTTATTTTATTATATTATGTTTATAAGTACGACAAAAGAAATTATTTTAATCGTCGCTCGATTTTAAACGCATTTCAAATTACAGATTAACATTTGTAAGTCCGAAATGGCATTTTTTTGATGTTTAAATAAAAGGCAGGAAAAAAAATGTCTATCATAAATCATAGAGCTACATGACGTTCACAAAACATATGTGCTTAGTTTATTCTGACGTTGAGTTCAGACGAATTGTTTACTCGTGTGGGAATTGTAGCCGAAAAATCAACATGAAACGATCGTTATTAGCTTATATAAATATTGCTGATTTATAGGCTGCGGGTAATAATTATATGACACTTATTTTGACGCTGACAGTACATGTACTAGCCCATTGCTAAATTCACATTGAAAATGTATTTCAATCATATTCAAAGTGTTTTATAAATTTTTTTATATATATATATACTAGTGTTTATTTAAAAAAAAAATTAAAAGTAGTACGAGTAGTAGTAGTAGTTTTTTTTTACCATGAAGTGTATGTTCATCGTTTGGCTAGTCGTTTGTGTAAAGGTCAGTAAACCTTAGGTGTAATTTAATAGATCATTTCAAAAACGACACGAGTCGTTGTTTTTTTATTCATAGAAGTCACTTATTGTCAAATTTGATACTTTGATAATTTGATACATATTATACGTTAAAGCTATATCAAACTAAAATGTAGAAAAAAATATCGACAAAATGAAATTGGAACAAAGTAAATCGACGTGTATATAGTTAATTTTTGTTTGTTAAAAAATAAATGTATTAAGTAAAAGACAGAATACTTGTTATATCTACTCAGTTTTATTACTTTTTGTCAAGTACAGTGTTCTGGAATTTTGGTCTGCAGTTCTGTATTATAGATTATCAATGCATTTTTTTACTAGCGTTTTGTAAGATAAAGAAAAGTTTGTGTAATACTATTAGTAATAAGTCTGTGCTATATTTATCTTTTTATACAATCGAGCGGTTGGTTTTGACCTTCAATCCATTCGGATTAGCCGCTTGCAGTTACATTATTAAAAGTTAAACTTGAAATCTCATGTTACCCATAAGTATTTAATTTACCTAATTTGTGTACAATGAATTGCTCACAAGTAATAACCACATTTTAAAATTTTCCAAGACTATTAAATTAAAACGGTTTATCCCATTTTCTACAATTGACGGGGGTAAGATTCGTTTTGTAGTACCTTACTGTCAGATTTAACTGATTGATATTCCATATATATATATATATATATATATAATTTTCTCACAAAAAACAATTTTCGGCAAAAATAGATTTATCCGGTGGTTACTCTAAGCCATTGATTATTAAGTTATTTAATTTTAGTGTAAAATTTCATTTTAATGACTTATGTCGTTTTCGAAATGAACTTGTCTTTAGACTGGTGGTCAATTTGCGTCAGATATTCTTGTGGCGATTTGTGCAACGCCTTAAGACATGTTCATGTGTTCAATGTGTTTCCCAGCAGCATTGATCTTAAAACATGCAGACAGGCCATGCTATACACAAGAACGGCAACCTGTTTTACGCAGGATTCCCGCCGCCAACAGGGGTGCCCTCGTCATAGTGTAAGGACGGGTAGACGGTAAACTATGACGAGGGTAACTCTGTTGACGACGGGAATCCCACATGAAATCGGTTGCCGTTCTAGGGCATAGAACCGCTTATTTGTATATTTTTAAATCAATGCCAGTATGTAGAGTTTTTTCCAACTGAATCGCCGATTATAACGCCGTGTTTTGCTTGTAGATAAATGGCCAAGCCACGGAGTTTCCTGAAAACGTACTGGACGTCGACAGTCTTGGAGAACTATCGGCCAGAGAGTTGATTTGGACGGCGATGTCGTCGCAATGCAACGTTTACTACGCGGTCTACAACAATTTTTTGAACTTAGGCATTCCCGTTGGTGGTACGGCCATACCGCCAGAGGACATTGCGGTGTACATAGCGACCACGTACGATCCGGTCGGCAAGAATTTGGTGTTGGACATTCGACAGGATTTTGAGACGTTGAGGGAAGCGTCCACAACTATCGAAGACCTCGTCTACGGATACGAAACGGGGATTCCGAAAATCGATGACAACCAAGTCGTTGGAACGGGAATTTCAATCTGGCAAAAGGTCAACCGTGCGATGGCATTATTCAACGAACGTATGTCCGACATTAACAACGAAATCAATCAACAGCTGTTGGAAATCAACAACAACATGGACAGGGATTCGGAGTCGTACGTTCGGGCCATGCGCGATTTGTACACTGTAGCGATGGAACAAATTATAGAAGCTGTGATGGAAGATTCCTCCTCGTACGTTGCCGCACTGGATTTTATCGTCCGGTACAATGTGGAGACTGAACTACACAATTTACAAGTTAGCGCCGTTTCGAATTAACATGATAAAATAATGTAACATTTCAGACGTTTAGGGGCAAAGTGATCTAGAGCCAATAGGTACAATTCGTTGTTTAAGACACAACACCTCCGATCTCATTTATTGGACAAATCAAGTTAGCAACACAGTTTAATTTTAATTTTTGCAGAGAATCGACTGGCGGGCTCAGTTTCGTGATAAAGTCAATAGGTAATGCCATAATCGAATAACTAATATCTTGGTTATGATGTTATGGAATGGTAATCGAAACTGTATTTTGCTCTTCTGTAAATTTGAGAAAAATGAGATATATGGCATCTTAAGCGACGAATTGCTAAAACATATATCTGAAACGTGTTAGGTTTCAAAGCATAACAGCTCTAATATAAGATAATAAATACGCTTTCGCCGACTGCATTGATGCGAGCGACGTTTATGTGTATACCATTGCTTATCTGTATGTTTTTCAAAAAATAAAACACAGTAGTGCAAATCTAAGAGGATGGCAGGAGGAGATAGCCGAGGTCTCTATTATTAATAATATTGTGGGTGGTTTATAATTTTTGCTTATCTTATTATTTTATCATTATAAAATAACGATTGCTAGTGAAGCACACTTTCATCTGAAATCGTGTGACTTTTATTTAAAGGTCAAAAGTGATCCGAACATCGACGCTGGCATTAACAACCATGGGCATTACTAAACAGTATTTTCCATTTCTCGACAATATTGGTTTATTTGCACTAGATCACTTTGCTTTATTGCGAATGTGTAAGGTGCTAAAAATATAAACAGTTTAAAGAAATAATGTGCTTATTATAATCATGTTTATATTAGTATTAGCATAGATTAAATATACTATAGACAAGCAATGCATATTATTAGACGCCTTTTTTGTAGTTAATTTTTCTGTCAAAAAAGTTTAGAATAGATTTCAAACATGGTCCTACCGGTGTATCACTTATGTTTTATTCTGTCTATAGATAGGTATTACACACGTCCCCAGCAACATTGAACACTCCCAATGATCCGAATCCCCACTAAACCTTGTGTTGTACATGAGTTGTAAAGCATACTATGGGAATTATTTATTTATAGTATATTTAATCTATGGTATTAGAATGGATACGACTAGGGTTGATTGATAATTTATGCCGTAAACCATGTATCGTTATTAATAATATAATGCAAATATTTATCTAATATTATTGTCACAAATCAACCTAGGAATTTAATACGGTCAAAAAGTAATATTTCCATTATTTTTTCCGTACAGTGGGGTCGAGGCATGTTAGGGCTGGTGTGGTCACAGTTCTATATGTATTGTTACAACTGAAAGAGATAAAGACACTTTCAAGTAAACGCTTCGACGCGAATCTATAATAGTAGAAATACCAATATCGATAAAAACATGGTATGTAATGAAAATAATGTGCTTAAAAATGTACTTTTGGTACTAGGATGGATACAATTAAAGTTGACTGTCTGTACATAAAAATGTATAGCCATAGTTTGGAACTAATTCGACTATTTTAAAAAAAGTTATAGAGCATCATATTTTTAAGTTGCAAAATATGTAATTTGTTTGGGTGTATTTATCGATTTTGAAGAGGAAGGGGAGAATTTTTTTAATTGTTAGCCCAAAAAAAATCTTTTAGGTGCGGTTGCTGATATATAAAGTTGCTACCCGGAGAAATCGGATCAGCGCCAATTTAAATAAAAAATAAAAACACATTATTGTAAACACAATACCTTCTCAGCTTCGTATCGAAGCTAAAATACATGTTTGGTGTACAAGATAAGTTTAAAAAATAATGTAATAATAATTTATTGCAATAGTTAGAGAACACACCCTAATTTTAAGTAAAAATATGTACTTTTTATGTGAGTTTGACTTGATTTTGAAGGGGTAGGGGTGGCATTTAAAAATGTTTGAGCCTCTAAAGTATCTATCAGTTAAGATTTCTGAACTCTAGACTTGCTACCCGAAGAAATTATTTCAGCATGGGTTCAGAGAGAATCAATTTTTATAAACACTTTATAATATTAATCGCAGTATTACATAATCAACAAAATGATTTACTTTTTGGGATTTTTTTTCGGTAGTAAATATTTGTACCGTGTATTTAGAGAAATAAACTGTCAAAATTGTATTTAAGTTGTAGAATTTTGAAAAGTCGGACAAAAAATCACATTAAATAAAAAAAACATGCAACAACTTTAACTTTTATCAAATGTATTTTGGCTGTATTAGTGTTTTGAAGGTAAGCTTTGATAGTGAATACATCAGTCCCAGTTTTACCTTCGATATTTCTTAACTACTGAACCGAATTCTTCATGTACCAAATCTAGAGTGCAAAAATCGTACCGGAAAGTTACATTATCGGCCAATTATATAAAAAGTTAATCTTTTCCCTTCAAAATCTAGAATGCACGCAAAAATTTTATATATTTTTCAACTTAACACTTTAGTTATAAAAGTTATATTTTTTAAAAATATTTGAATTAGTTCCCACATATTTTTTAGACAATATAATCAACATGTGTTCAAAAACCAAAATAATGTCATAGGCTTTTTCCCCGAGAAGGGGTGAACATGTTTTTTTATATCAGTAAATAACAGGTATTTGAAAACTATTTCAGACTCGTGCACAAAACAGATTTCAGTATGATGCAAAAGAATCCATTCGACAGCAATTGACGGAGTTGTATAAATTATATATAGAGGCATTATCCTATATTTATAACCACGATCAAATGATCGATGGAAGTATTTGGACCAATTCAAAATTCATAATTTGGTTTGACGTAAATACCTCAAAAACTCTAGCAGACTACTTAGCGTCAAGTATCTTAATGGTCGCCACTCAAACGTCGGACTATATTAAAAGTGCATATAAATATAATAAGCTGCAAATTCCAAACATGTTGTCAACACTTAAGGAACATGTTAATTTAAACTTAATTGACATAACGGAACTTGTTAAAATACCTTTTCAACACGCAATACCAACTGATCATGAATCAACTGTTTATAAATTTTATCAACTAGAAAGTAATAAAATTGACACTTTGATAAAAGACAGAATAAATATATTTAAATTACAGTGGACTGATTCAAATGTTGCAATGGTAGCAAAAGAAATACTTGAAATATACAAAAATAACCAAATAAATAAACTTCCAGTAAAAGACGACAATGTTATAGCATGGATGTATATAATGCATTTAGAAGAACAAAATAAATTTTTTGTTAAGTCGGCTTCTTACGCAATGGTTATCTATAAAAATTTACAAAATTCTGTGGCATATTTATTGCAAGATCAAAGTAATAGACAACAAGAATCAATGTATAGTGATTTGTTGAAACACATTGATCAAAGAATGCTTATTGTAATGAGATATATCATGATACCGTTCAATGACAACATGATCTCAATACCAAAATTTATGAATAACATTGTAGACAATAGCAATAACGTTTTTAACATATTAGATGGAGCAAACAATAATAGATCAACAAAAGCTATGTCGAATTGGCTAAATAAAAAGATTAAAAACACAAATGAAGTATACAACTTGGTACAAACGGCTTCAGTTTCAACAGAAATGTTGTATGATGTTGGACTAAACAAAATTGTTGAAGAACTAGAAAAAAATAACTTACGTGACGACAGTAATAACAGTAAAATAATTAATATATTAAACGATATAACAATTACAAAGTCGATTTGCGAAAAAAGCATGGTAAATTTAATACAATACATAACAATAAATAAAAAATATATTGAAAAAACTTTAGAAAAAAATTCTGATATAAAAATAGAAGCAATTCATCAATTAGCAAAATCTATCAAACACAAGTTGCGTGCTCTAATAGATATTTTCAATATATCATTTATGAAATTGGCTTTTTTTGATCAACGACTATTAAAACTGTACAACAACAAAAATATAACAAGTTACGAAAAAATAAAAAATATGTTTAAAAATCATTTTAAAAATTACATAAACAAAAAAACTTTAGACAACATGAATGATATTAATAATTATATATATTTAATAAATTATATATACACAAATTTAACAAAAATTAACATAAAAACTGAAAATAATGAAAAAAACTATGAGGAAACAATCGAGCAAAACGTTAAAATCACTAAAAAGATTTTTACTGAAATACTAGAAGACCTCAAGTCAACATACAAAAATGACCTTTACCAAAAAAACTCGATGGCAATCCAAGAAGTTATAAACGACAAAAATAATAGAATAGGAGGCGCGTTAAGTATAATAGTAGAAGATATCGTCAGATTTAGTAATTTTAAAAACCGAAAAACCCACCACGGCCAAACATATAACCACAAGTATTTCTACTCAATAAGTCCAGAAGATTTAACAGATATATTGTACGATTACGACGGAACGAAACCAGGGAGTAGGGAAACGCCACTAATAATATCCGGATTGAGAGGCTTGCCCGATTTTGATTCGCACCAAGTTTTGAATGGAGGTTTGGATACACCTTTTGACGGCTCCAAACAAACCGATTCTCCTGAAGATGGTAATCCGAGATATGATGGCCTCTTCGGTTCTCCTAACGGACAGACCTCCGATGAATATCCAATAATAAATTCACAAAAGACAACTGTCAATGAAGAACTATCGATTATCATCTCTGATGATGGAACGAAACCGGGGAGTAGGGAAACGCCACCACATATATCCGGATTGAGAGGCTTGCCCGATTTTGATTCGCACCAAGTTTTGAATGGAGGTTTGGATACACCTTTTGACGGCTCCAAACAAACCGATTCTCCTGAAGATGGTAATCCAAGATATGATGGCCTCTTCGGTTCTCCTAACGGACAGACCTCCGATGAATATCCAAGAATAAATGCACAAAAGACAACTGTCAATGAAGAACTATCGATTGTCATCTCTGATGATGGAACGAAACCGGGGAGTAGGGAAACGCCACCAATAATATCCGGATTGAGAGGCTTGCCCGATTTTGATTCGCACCAAGTTTTGAATGGAGTTTTGGATACACCTTTTGACGGTTCCAAACAAACCGATTCTCCTGAAGATGGTAATCCGAGATATGATGGCCTCTTCGGTTCTCCTAACGGACAGAGCTCCGATGAATATCCAAAAATAAATGCACAAAAGACAACTGTCAATGAAGAACTATCGATTATCATCTCTGATGATGGAACGAAACCGGGGAGTAGGGAAACACCACCAATAATATCCGGATTGAGAGGCTTGCCCGATTTTGATTCGCACCAAGTTTTGAATGGAGTTTTGGATACACCTTTTGACGGTTCCAAACAAACCGATTCTCCTGAAGATGGAAATCCAAGATATGATGGCCTTTTCGGTTCTCCTAACGGACAGACCTCCGATGAATATCCAATAATAAATGCACAAAAGACAACTGTCAATGAAGAACTATCGATTATCATCTCTGATGATGGAACGAAACCGGGGAGTAGGGAAACGCCACCAATAATATCCGGATTGAGAGGCTTGCCCGATTTTGATTCGCACCAAGTTTTGAATGGAGTTTTGGATACACCTTTTGACGGTTCCAAACAAACCGATTCTCCTGAAGATGGTAATCCGAGATATGATGGCCTCTTCGGTTCTCCTAACGGACAGACCTCCGATGAATATCCAATAATAAATGCACAAAAGACAACTGTCAATGAAGAACTATCGATTATCATCTCTGATGATGGAACGAAACCGGGGAGTAGGGAAACGCCACCAATAATATCCGGATTGAGAGGCTTGCCCGATTTTGATTCGCACCAAGTTTTGAATGGAGTTTTGGATACACCTTTTGACGGTTCCAAACAAACCGATTCTCCTGAAGATGGAAATCCGAGATATGATGGCCTCTTCGGTTCTCCTAACGGACAGACCTCCGATGAATATCCAATAATAAATTCACAAAAGACAACTGTCAATGAAGAACTATCGATTATCATCTCTGATGATGGAACGAAACCGGGGAGTAGGGAAACACCACCAATAATATCCGGATTGAGAGGCTTGCCCGATTTTGATTCGCACCAAGTTTTGAATGGAGTTTTGGATACACCTTTTGACGGTTCCAAACAAACCGATTCTCCTGAAGATGGAAGTCCAAGATATGATGGCCTCTTCGGTTCTCCTAACGGACAGACCTCCGATGAATATCCAATAATAAATTCACAAAAGACAACTGTCAATGAAGAACTATCGATTGTCATCTCTGATGATGGAACGAAACCGGGGAGTAGGGAAACGCCACCAATAATATCCGGATTGAGAGGCTTGCCCGATTTTGATTCGCACCAAGTTTTGAATGGAGTTTTGGATACACCTTTTGACGGTTCCAAACAAACCGATTCTCCTGAAGATGGAAATCCAGAGATATGATGGCCTCTTCGGTTCTCCTAACGGACAGACCTCCGATGAATATCCAATAATAAATTCACAAAAGACAACTGTCAATGAAGAACTATCGATTGTCATCTCTGATGATGGAACGAAACCGGGGAGTAGGGAAACGCCACCAATAATATCCGGATTGAGAGGCTTGCCCGATTTTGATTCGCACCAAGTTTTGAATGGAGTTTTGGATACACCTTTTGACGGTTCCAAACAAACCGATTCTCCTGAAGATGGAAATCCAAGATATGATGGCCTCTTCGGTTCTCCTAACGGACAGACCTCCGATGAATATCCAATAATAAATTCACAAAAGACAACTGTCAATGAAGAACTATCGATTGTCATCTCTGATGATGGAACGAAACCGGGGAGTAGGGAAACGCCACCAATAATATCCGGATTGAGAGGCTTGCCCGATTTTGATTCGCACCAAGTTTTGAATGGAGTTTTGGATACACCTTTTGACGGTTCCAAACAAACCGATTCTCCTGAAGATGGAAGTCCAAGATATGATGGCCTTTTTGGTTCTCCTAACGGACAGAGCTCCGATGAATATCCAAAAATAAATGCACAAAAGACAACTGTCAATGAAGAACTATCGATTATCATCTCTGATGATGGAACGAAACCGGGGAGTAGGGAAACGCCACCAATAATATCCGGATTGAGAGGCTTGCCCGATTTTGATTCGCACCAAGTTTTGAATGGAGTTTTGGATACACCTTTTGACGGTTCCAAACAAACCGATTCTCCTGAAGATGGAAATCCAAGATATGATGGCCTCTTCGGTTCTCCTAACGGACAGACCTCCGATGAATATCCAATAATAAATTCACAAAAGACAACTGTCAATGAAGAACTATCGATTGTCATCTCTGATGATGGAACGAAACCGGGGAGTAGGGAAACGCCACCGACAATATCCGGATTGAAAGTTTTACCCAATTTTGAATCGCACCAAGTTTTGAATGGAGTTTTGGATACACCTTTTGACGGTTCCAAACAAACCGATTCTCCTGAAGATGGAAATCCAAGATATGATGGCCTCTTCGGTTCTCCTAACGGACAGACCTCCGATGAATATCCAATAATAAATTCACAAAAGACAACTGTCAATGAAGAACTATCGATTGTCATCTCTGATGATGGAACGAAACCGGGGAGTAGGGAAACGCCACCGACAATATCTGGATTGAAAGTTTTACCCAATTTTGAATCGCACCAAGTTTTGAATGGAGTTTTGGATACACCTTTTGACGGTTCCAAACAAACCGATTCTCCTGAAGATGGAAATCCAAGATATGATGGCCTCTTCGGTTCTCCTAACGGACAGACCTCCGATGAATATCCAATAATAAATTCACAAAAGACAACTGTCAATGAAGAACTATCGATTGTCATCTCTGATGATGGAACGAAACCGGGGAGTAGGGAAACGCCACCAATAATATCCGGATTGAGAGGCTTGCCCGATTTTGATTCGCACCAAGTTTTGAATGGAGTTTTGGATACACCTTTTGACGGTTCCAAACAAACCGATTCTCCTGAAGATGGAAATCCAAGATATGATGGCCTCTTTGGTTCTCCTAACGGACAGACCTCCGATGAATATCCAATAATAAATTCACAAAAGACAACTGTCAATGAAGAACTATCGATTGTCATCTCTGATGATGGAACGAAACCGGGGAGTAGGGAAACGCCACCGACAATATCTGGATTGAAAGTTTTACCCAATTTTGAATCGCACCAAGTTTTGAATGGAGTTTTGGATACACCTTTTGACGGTTCCAAACAAACCGATTCTCCTGAAGATGGAAATCCAAGATATGATGGCCTCTTCGGTTCTCCTAACGGACAGACCTCCGATGAATATCCAATAATAAATTCACAAAAGACAACTGTCAATGAAGAACTATCGATTGTCATCTCTGATGATGGAACGAAACCGGGAGTAGGGAAACGCCACCAATAATATCCGGATTGAGAGGCTTGCCCGATTTTGATTCGCACCAAGTTTTGAATGGAGTTTTGGATACACCTTTTGACGGTTCCAAACAAACCGATTCTCCTGAAGATGGAAATCCAAGATATGATGGCCTTTTTGGTTCTCCTAACGGACAGACCTCCGATGAATATCCAATAATAAATTCACAAAAGACAACTGTCAATGAAGAACTATCGATTGTCATCTCTGATGATGGAACGAAACCGGGGAGTAGGGAAACGCCACCAATAATATCCGGATTGAGAGGCTTGCCCGATTTTGATTCGCACCAAGTTTTGAATGGAGTTTTGGATACACCTTTTGACGGTTCCAAACAAACCGATTCTCCTGAAGATGGAAATCCAAGATATGATGGCCTTTTTGGTTCTCCTAACGGACAGAGCTCCGATGAATATCCAAAAATAAATGCACAAAAGACAACTGTCAATGAAGAACTATCGATTATCATCTCTGATGATGGAACGAAACCGGGGAGTAGGGAAACGCCACCAATAATATCCGGATTGAGAGGCTTGCCCGATTTTGATTCGCACCAAGTTTTGAATGGAGTTTTGGATACACCTTTTGACGGTTCCAAACAAACCGATTCTCCTGAAGATGGAAATCCAAGATATGATGGCCTTTTTGGTTCTCCTAACGGACAAACCTCCGATGAATATCCAAGAATAAATGCACAAAAGACAACTGTCAATGAAGAACTATCGATTGTCATCTCTGATGATGGAACGAAACCGGGGAGTAGGGAAACGCCACCGACAATATCTGGATTGAAAGTTTTACCCAATTTTGAATCGCACCAAGTTTTGAATGGAGTTTTGGATACACCTTTTGACGGTTCCAAACAAACCGATTCTCCTGAAGATGGAAATCCAAGATATGATGGCCTTTTTGGTTCTCCTAACGGACAGACCTCCGATGAATATCCAAAAATAAATGCACAAAAGACAACTGTCAATGAAGAACTATCGATTGTCATCTCTGATGATGGAACGAAACCGGGGAGTAGGGAAACGCCACCAATAATATCCGGATTGAGAGGCTTGCCCGATTTTGATTCGCACCAAGTTTTGAATGGAGTTTTGGATACACCTTTTGACGGTTCCAAACAAACCGATTCTCCTGAAGATGGAAATCCAAGATATGATGGCCTCTTCGGTTCTCCTAACGGACAAACCTCCGATGAATATCCAATAATAAATTCACAAAAGACAACTGTCAATGAAGAACTATCGATTGTCATCTCTGATGATGGAACGAAACCGGGGAGTAGGGAAACGCCACCGACAATATCTGGATTGAAAGTTTTACCCAATTTTGAATCGCACCAAGTTTTGAATGGAGTTTTGGATACACCTTTTGACGGTTCCAAACAAACCGATTCTCCTGAAGATGGAAATCCAAGATATGATGGCCTCTTCGGTTCTCCTAACGGACAAACCTCCGATGAATATCCAATAATAAATTCACAAAAGACAACTGTCAATGAAGAACTATCGATTGTCATCTCTGATGATGGAACGAAACCGGGGAGTAGGGAAACGCCACCGACAATATCTGGATTGAAAGTTTTACCCAATTTTGAATCGCACCAAGTTTTGAATGGAGTTTTGGATACACCTTTTGACGGTTCCAAACAAACCGATTCTCCTGAAGATGGAAGTCCAAGATATGATGGCCTTTTTGGTTCTCCTAACGGACAGACCTCCGATGAATATCCAATAATAAATGCACAAAAGACAACTGTCAATGAAGAACTATCGATTGTCATCTCTGATGATGGAACGAAACCGGGGAGTAGGGAAACGCCACCAATAATATCCGGATTGAGAGGCTTGCCCGATTTTGATTCGCACCAAGTTTTGAATGGAGTTTTGGATACACCTTTTGACGGTTCCAAACAAACCGATTCTCCTGAAGATGGAAATCCAAGATATGATGGCCTCTTCGGTTCTCCTAACGGACAGAGCTCCGATGAATATCCAAAAATAAATGCACAAAAGACAACTGTCAATGAAGAACTATCGATTATCATCTCTGATGATGGAACGAAACCGGGGAGTAGGGAAACGCCACCAATAATATCCGGATTGAGAGGCTTGCCCGATTTTGATTCGCACCAAGTTTTGAATGGAGTTTTGGATACACCTTTTGACGGCTCCAAACAAACCGATTCTCCTGAAGATGGTAATCCAAGATATGATGGCCTCTTCGGTTCTCCTAACGGACAGACCTCCGATGAATATCCAATAATAAATTCACAAAAGACAACTGTCAATGAAGAACTATCGATTGTCATCTCTGATGATGGAACGAAACCGGGGAGTAGGGAAACGCCACCAATAATATCCGGATTGAGAGGCTTGCCCGATTTTGATTCGCACCAAGTTTTGAATGGAGTTTTGGATACACCTTTTGACGGTTCCAAACAAACCGATTCTCCTGAAGATGGAAATCCAAGATATGATGGCCTCTTCGGTTCTCCTAACGGACAGAGCTCCGATGAATATCCAATAATAAATTCACAAAAGACAACTGTCAATGAAGAACTATCGATTGTCATCTCTGATGATGGAACGAAACCGGGGAGTAGGGAAACGCCACCGACAATATCTGGATTGAAAGTTTTACCCAATTTTGAATCGCACCAAGTTTTGAATGGAGTTTTGGATACACCTTTTGACGGTTCCAAACAAACCGATTCTCCTGAAGATGGAAATCCAAGATATGATGGCCTCTTCGGTTCTCCTAACGGACAGACCTCCGATGAATATCCAATAATAAATTCACAAAAGACAACTGTCAATGAAGAACTATCGATTGTCATCTCTGATGATGGAACGAAACCGGGGAGTAGGGAAACGCCACCAATAATATCCGGATTGAGAGGCTTGCCCGATTTTGATTCGCACCAAGTTTTGAATGGAGTTTTGGATACACCTTTTGACGGTTCCAAACAAACCGATTCTCCTGAAGATGGAAATCCAAGATATGATGGCCTTTTTGGTTCTCCTAACGGACAGACCTCCGATGAATATCCAAGAATAAATGCACAAAAGACAACTGTCAATGAAGAACTATCGATTGTCATCTCTGATGATGGAACGAAACCGGGGAGTAGGGAAACGCCACCGACAATATCTGGATTGAGAGGCTTGCCCGATTTTGATTCGCACCAAGTTTTGAATGGAGTTTTGGATACACCTTTTGACGGTTCCAAACAAACCGATTCTCCTGAAGATGGAAATCCAAGATATGATGGCCTCTTCGGTTCTCCTAACGGACAGACCTCCGATGAATATCCAATAATAAATTCACAAAAGACAACTGTCAATGAAGAACTATCGATTGTCATCTCTGATGATGGAACGAAACCGGGGAGTAGGGAAACGCCACCGACAATATCCGGATTGAGAGGCTTGCCCGATTTTGATTCGCACCAAGTTTTGAATGGAGTTTTGGATACACCTTTTGACGGTTCCAAACAAACCGATTCTCCTGAAGATGGAAGTCCAAGATATGATGGCCTTTTTGATTCTCCTAACGGACAGACCTCCGATGAATATCCAAAAATAAATGCACAAAAGACAACTGTCAATGAAGAACTATCGATTATCATCTCTGATGATGGAACGAAACCGGGGAGTAGGGAAACGCCACCAATAATATCCGGATTGAGAGGCTTGCCCGATTTTGATTCGCACCAAGTTTTGAATGGAGTTTTGGATACACCTTTTGACGGTTCCAAACAAACCGATTCTCCTGAAGATGGAAATCCAAGATATGATGGCCTTTTTGGTTCTCCTAACGGACAGAGCTCCGATGAATATCCAAAAATAAATGCACAAAAGACAACTGTCAATGAAGAACTATCGATTATCATCTCTGATGATGGAACGAAACCGGGGAGTAGGGAAACGCCACCAATAATATCCGGATTGAGAGGCTTGCCCGATTTTGATTCGCACCAAGTTTTGAATGGAGTTTTGGATACACCTTTTGACGGTTCCAAACAAACCGATTCTCCTGAAGATGGAAATCCAAGATATGATGGCCTCTTCGGTTCTCCTAACGGACAGACCTCCGATGAATATTCAATAATAAATTCACAAAAGACAACTGTCAATGAAGAACTATCGATTGTCATCTCTGATGATGGAACGAAACCGGGGAGTAGGGAAACGCCACCAATAATATCCGGATTGAGAGGCTTGCCCGATTTTGATTCGCACCAAGTTTTGAATGGAGTTTTGGATACACCTTTTGACGGTTCCAAACAAACCGATTCTCCTGAAGATGGAAATCCAAGATATGATGGCCTCTTCGGTTCTCCTAACGGACAGACCTCCGATGAATATCCAATAATAAATTCACAAAAGACAACTGTCAATGAAGAACTATCGATTGTCATCTCTGATGATGGAACGAAACCGGGGAGTAGGGAAACGCCACCAATAATATCCGGATTGAGAGGCTTGCCCGATTTTGATTCGCACCAAGTTTTGAATGGAGTTTTGGATACACCTTTTGACGGTTCCAAACAAACCGATTCTCCTGAAGATGGAAATCCAAGATATGATGGCCTCTTCGGTTCTCCTAACGGACAGACCTCCGATGAATATCCAATAATAAATTCACAAAAGACAACTGTCAATGAAGAACTATCGATTGTCATCTCTGATGATGGAACGAAACCGGGGAGTAGGGAAACGCCACCAATAATATCCGGATTGAGAGGCTTGCCCGATTTTGATTCGCACCAAGTTTTGAATGGAGTTTTGGATACACCTTTTGACGGTTCCAAACAAACCGATTCTCCTGAAGATGGAAATCCAAGATATGATGGCCTCTTCGGTTCTCCTAACGGACAGACCTCCGATGAATATCCAATAATAAATTCACAAAAGACAACTGTCAATGAAGAACTATCGATTGTCATCTCTGATGATGGAACGAAACCGGGGAGTAGGGAAACGCCACCAATAATATCCGGATTGAGAGGCTTGCCCGATTTTGATTCGCACCAAGTTTTGAATGGAGTTTTGGATACACCTTTTGACGGTTCCAAACAAACCGATTCTCCTGAAGATGGAAATCCAAGATATGATGGCCTTTTCGGTTCTCCTAACGGACAGACCTCCGATGAATATCCAATAATAAATTCACAAAAGACAACTGTCAATGAAGAACTATCGATTGTCATCTCTGATGATGGAACGAAACCGGGGAGTAGGGAAACGCCACCAATAATATCCGGATTGAGAGGCTTGCCCGATTTTGATTCGCACCAAGTTTTGAATGGAGTTTTGGATACACCTTTTGACGGTTCCAAACAAACCGATTCTCCTGAAGATGGAAATCCAAGATATGATGGCCTCTTCGGTTCTCCTAACGGACAGACCTCCGATGAATATCCAATAATAAATTCACAAAAGACAACTGTCAATGAAGAACTATCGATTGTCATCTCTGATGATGGAACGAAACCGGGGAGTAGGGAAACGCCACCAATAATATCCGGATTGAGAGGCTTGCCCGATTTTGATTCGCACCAAGTTTTGAATGGAGTTTTGGATACACCTTTTGACGGTTCCAAACAAACCGATTCTCCTGAAGATGGAAATCCAAGATATGATGGCCTCTTCGGTTCTCCTAACGGACAGACCTCCGATGAATATCCAATAATAAATTCACAAAAGACAACTGTCAATGAAGAACTATCGATTGTCATCTCTGATGATGGAACGAAACCGGGGAGTAGGGAAACGCCACCAATAATATCCGGATTGAGAGGCTTGCCCGATTTTGATTCGCACCAAGTTTTGAATGGAGTTTTGGATACACCTTTTGACGGTTCCAAACAAACCGATTCTCCTGAAGATGGAAATCCAAGATATGATGGCCTTTTCGGTTCTCCTAACGGACAAACCTCCGATGAATATCCAATAATAAATTCACAAAAGACAACTGTCAATGAAGAACTATCGATTGTCATCTCTGATGATGGAACGAAACCGGGGAGTAGGGAAACGCCACCAATAATATCCGGATTGAGAGGCTTGCCCGATTTTGATTCGCACCAAGTTTTGAATGGAGTTTTGGATACACCTTTTGACGGTTCCAAACAAACCGATTCTCCTGAAGATGGAAATCCAAGATATGATGGCCTTTTTGGTTCTCCTAACGGACAGACCTCCGATGAATATCCAATAATAAATTCACAAAAGACAACTGTCAATGAAGAACTATCGATTGTCATCTCTGATGATGGAACGAAACCAGGGAGTAGGGAAACGCTACCAATAATATCCGGATTGAGAGGCTTGCCCGATTTTGATTCGCACCAAGTTTTGAATGGAGTTTTGGATACACCTTTTGACGGTTCCAAACAAACCGATTCTCCTGAAGATGGAAATCCAAGATATAATGGCCTTTTTGATTCTCCTAACGGACAAACCTCCGATGAATATCCAATAATAAATTCACAAAAGACAACTGTCAATGAAGAACTATCGATTGTCATCTCTGATGATGGAACGAAACCGGGGAGTAGGGAAACGCCACCAATAATATCCGGATTGAGAGGCTTGCCCGATTTTGATTCGCACCAAGTTTTGAATGGAGTTTTGGATACACCTTTTGACGGCTCCAAACAAACCGATTCTCCTGAAGATGGTAATCCGAGATATGATGGCCTCTTCGGTTCTCCTAACGGACAGACCTCCGATGAATATCGAAGAATAAATTCACAAAAGACCACTGTCAATGAAGAACTATCGATTGTCATCTCTGATGATGGAACGAAACCGGGGAGTAGGGAAACGCCACCTACAATACCTGGAATGAGAGCATTGCTAAACAGTCAGGGTGACTTTGTGAGCTGTGAAGATTTTACGGCAGTGTCAGATTCTGGCTGCACGGATTTTACATATGTTTTGAATTCGGATGAATATACAGTTTTACAATCGGAAACCACTGTTCAACAAGTAGTTTCAACTATCATTCAGGATTGAAATATAATAATTTTTCATTATCTTTTTGGTACTGCAGATAGGTGATAATATATAAAAAAATTTGTTTAATTGTTAGTTTACATTTTGTTCTTTCTATATTACGGAATTCATTTAATATAAATTATAATTTTATGAAAATATTTGCTTATATTTATTTTATGTTTTCTTGGAATATATTCTCATCTGTGTTGTTATTTAATTTTGTGTTCATACTTTACATTAATAATAGCTTAGTTTTTATGTACTTTATGTTATTTGTTATTTTATTGGTTTTCAATGTTATACTTTATACTGCTGCGAAGCCTGAAGGATGCATTTTGTTGTATTTGGTCTCGAACCTCTTTTACCTCTATGGCTTTCTATGGTTTATTCACTAATCTGGATTTTTATATACTAATATCTTTATCTGGATTGGTCTGTAGGCGGCTTATACATTTTTAAACTTGGGGCTTTTCTAAACAGAATATAAAACTCTATCAAATTTTACTGTATTTTTATAGTTAAATCAATTGTAGCATATCGTTATTGAATTTTAAAAATGAATGGGTAATTTATTGGTATGCTACTTGGCTTATCGGGTAAACGTAATTAAATTAAAAGCAATGCTCAAAAATGTTTTTCAGCTTGCTGGAAAAAATTCTGCTGTTGATTTTTCCTTCATCCGCTCGGTCGGACGGGTGGCAAATTGACTGCCATTTATAATTTTCGAGAATATTCTTCTCTAGTATGCCGAAAGAGCGGTAGCAGGGGCATGTATTCTCTAGTTACATACCCCTTCCTAGACTGTGATTGAATTTATTCGAACCAGTTCACCCCGGTAGTTCTGTATAGCCACAAACTCGGTGGTGCTAGTACGATGGCCAATTTGCAGCCCTAGCGAGCGCAAACAAGAATTTATGCCCATATGTTATGCTTAAGATGCCCGTATACTTATGATTTGTATGTGTATTGTGAAAAGGGAGGCATAATATAGGGGAAATAGAAAATACATTACCCTCCCACCACTTCCTCGGCGCTTTGAAAAAAAAATTGAGTTGAGTTTTGTATGCGCTGAAGATGGTAAAATTTCTGCTGGAACGCAACAGAATATTATTGTTGTGGTCAAGGGTTTGTTAAATTTTTATATTATTCTATATCATATAACCACAAGTGTTGCTTCAGTTTTACTCTAGTATAATTAGCTAATAGACAAAAATTATTTTATCACTTGTTATCTAGTACATCACGTTATTATTCTGAGATTAAACAAAACTTTAGGTACTTAAGAACAGACGAACTATTTTAACTAAATAATATATTATAGTATAACCACGGTTAAAACGTTTTTTTTTTATAAATTATGCGAAAAAAAAAATTCTATTGAAATTTTAAACAATTACTGAAGAACTGCAAAAAAATATGATTGTTTAAATTGCTTAACCATAATCTTTTTAAATTTAAAACAATGGTTGGATGGTTCTGTTACATAATAGTACTTATCAGTTAAGTAGCAGACGATCTTATGTTTTTTTTAGCCAAATAACAGTAGGTTTTATGTAGATCCACAAATTATTTGTCATAGTTATAATAATAATTGACAATTTAAAAAAAGAATACAGATTAATAGAAATGATTTGATATGTTTTATATTACATTTTAAAAGTCTAAGACTGAATTTATTCGGTTTTTTTTTATAAAATACTATATTATAAGTAAGATGCTATATATTATAGAAGAAGTTAAACAGTTAAAAATGTTTAAATGTCAGCGCCAACAGTAATTTTAAGATTATTATAACCAGTTTTAGTACCAGTATTAATACCAATTCAAAGTTCAACTCAGAACAATTGCCTAATGAGCCACATTTTTTTATTGTTTATTTGTCCTGCATTTAAAATACAGGATTTTTCATTAAAGATCAGACCTTAATTTTCACTTCAAATTTTAATTTTAAGCGTTACAAGAAGCCTTCGTATTTGCTGACTCCTTATCTTCTACCCATCGAGCTTGTGGGCATGTATGTCAGTGATCTTAGACAGAACCATTTCATTCCTTCATTCGTCTATTATAATGACATTTTTTCTAATTCTGCGGCTGAATCAGCTAATCTATTTTCTACGTACTTTAACATGGATATGTTATTGAGCTGGATACAAGGAATTGCATGTCGCCATTTTTGCGTTACACTTTCATATTAAGTGAGAGTTAATAGATTAGAGATAAGACATAAGTGAAAAGTGCTAAGAGATAAAATATCCATAATTTAATGCTTGTTTGTGGCCGAACGGAGAAAATAACTAAGTTTTTCCTTCTATTTTATCCCTGCATTATTTTAAGCCTCTATAGAATATGATACTGTTTGTAAATCTTGTAACAATGTAATACATATAAATAAAATGTCAGTACAGTGGTGTCAGAGCATATAGTGGCGTGGGGAAATCACATATCTACGTGACTTATTATATGTGAAAGTGATAAAATCACTTTTAATTATACGCATTAAAAATATTGGTGTAATATTTCATTGGTTAGGTGTTAAAAAAAAAAATATATTTGACGACATATTTTTGAGGAAACTTTATCCATTACAGGAGCTGTCTATATTCGGTCTAATTTTGAAACCATAAGCCCTCAAAATACACATAAAAAACGATATATAAGAGTTTCTACCTCCTTTTGCGAAAGTGTTTTTAATATGTATTAGGTTTGTCAACGTACTTGATAATACAAATTACAATAACCATAGAATAATTTATACGAACTTGGAACCATTCCGAATATTTTTTTTTAAAAGCGTCGTAATTTTAAGACGACAAATATGTAAATTTGATACGGGGTTTTCTCAATTTTTAAAGGAAAGTGGTGAACTTATATAATGAAAAAACAAAACGAAAATTCCCAGTAGATTTAAGCTAACTATAATTATTACAGTGGTTTAAGATAGATACTTAAACGACATTGTATTTAAGGTATAATATATATTTAGAAAAATGGCTGCTTAAGTTGTTCAAAGACTTAAGTTATGTGGTACGATATCAACGTTTGAATTGAAATTCCTCTGACACTCAAATACATACACTTAAAATTCATAATATATCTGTTTTGTGTTACTTTGAGTACTCTGATAAGTTGTATAATTGTATAAGTTGCTACAAGAAGAAATCGGTTTAGTGGTTCAAAGGATATCGTGAGTCCAGACACAAAAAAAAAATCATTGTAAAAACAATACTTTCTCAGTGACGCATCGTAACTGATATAAATAACATTTTTTTTTTAAATTTTAAACTATTTTATTTGTTTTGACAAATTAACTATTCTTATTTTTTTTTTTTTTTTGAAATGTATAAAATTCAAAATTTTGAAATGTTTAGTTATTTTTAGTCAATCAGTTTTATATTATTGATCCATTTCTCAGCAAGTATTTTTAATTAAAACACATCCCTACAAATTGTATCTAAAATTATTTCTTTTCAGACTTATGTGTAGCTAGATTGGTTGTTTATTTTTGATTACTTATGGGATGACACAGCCAAATCTCTAACTGTTACTAGGTATTTCCTTATTCACTCCACACTTCGTCATATCTTATTGGTCATACCCGTGCAGGTTTTCTTCAATCCACCTCTAACTCCGAGTTTCTGTTGCTTTTTTTTTTTACTTTTTTTTCTTCATTCAACGTCCATAAATCTTATCTCATTTGTTGTCTCTCGGTACCCTGCAATTAACGTAACTCCACACGTTTTATGTGTAATATATTTGTAAATGATTAAAAATATTCTATAGGCTATGTAGGTGTTAAAACCGATTTAGCCACAAAAAAAAAAAGCAATTGACATTCAATGAATAATGATTTTCCGGTACAATTAACCAAATTTCCTCTAACGCATACCGAGTGTTTGGTATCTTTGACAATTATATAATTTCTGTTGGAAATTAAACAAACACAGATGTGTTAAATAACACTTAATTTATTGTTTCCATAAATTGTATATTTTTATTTTCAAACGTTCGAGTTGATTGCATACACACTGTGCGTAGTTTCAACACCGTTTGTTTTAGTATGGTTTATAATTAGGGATCATTGTCAGTTTACTAGTCGATAGTAAATATCTTTGGACATATAATATTTTTTAATCTGTTTGAGTTTGGGTATTTAAAGGTGCGTTTGCAACACGAGTTGTTATACAAGTATAATCTGTGAATCTTTTCATAGTCTTAATTTAATTACAGGTTTCCTGAAAAATTATATTGAAACTTCATTCAACTATTTTATTAACTTAAAAATGAATTTATCACTAAACAGTTTAATATTTGGTGTACTACTACTATTCGTCGCTACTGTAAGTTCTGTAATGTATTCTTTAATTTTAAATACATGGTTAACACGTTCGTCATGAAGTAATTAGATTAGTTTTTATTATATGTTCAAGTTTATAAAATCAATTATAAACAGTTTTTCGAGATTTTAATTTATGCTATAAACTAATGACACAGAGTAACAAACATTTGATGTATTTAGTTTTTTAATCACATTAAAGATAACATTTTAATTATAGATAATGAAATACATTTTACAACAATGAATAACGCCCGAACCGCAATTTAGAAAAATGTACCAGCATAGTAATAAGTTAGGGGTCCTAATTGAAGCTTAATTCCTTAGGTACTTATCAATATTAACTTTTAACTGTATTTTTTCTACAACTGTGCTATTTAATAAAATATTAAATACTATTAAAAAATAATACTTAAGAAGACGCCACACCGACCATTTCTAAGGAGTAAAGTATAGGCAATTATTAAAAAAATCTTATTTTAGAGTTTGAACTATAATGCATATTTATTAATACAGTAATGAAAATACTTTGTTGGTTGCCATTTTTTTTTGTCAGACTATCACAGTCATTTCTATAGGATAAATTACAATTTTTTCCCCATCAAAACTGCTTTGCGTGGATTAATTTTTCTCAGGCTTCATATATAGCTAAGGAAAGAAATTCATACATATTATTTATGACAAAATTATCTGTGTTCCATTAACGGTATTTTTTCGATATACCTAATACAAGAAACGCTATATCATTTTTAAAAAAGTCCTTTCTTAATTAATTAATTATTCATTAACAGGTTAAAATATTAAAAAAGGGCTATGGTAAAACACAGACAATGTTGTTGTCTATATTATATGAAAATTTGGTTTTTAAGTTTTGATTACAGCCTTTGTAAAATTTATCCGCGCAAGGCGGGTTTTTTGAAGAAAATAACGGGTGTGTGGCATGGCGCCCTCTTAATATAAACATTCAAAAAATGGCATTGTTTTATTCGATTTTTTTTTTGTAAGGGGTCGGAATCGAATAGATTTAGTTTTTTTTATAGATAGATTGTCATAAAATTATCTAGGCCAAAACATTAATTAGTATATTTTTTTGAATGTCATGAAAAATATATTTGTGAAAATACAAAATTATTATATCACCAAATTATATACCAAATTTTACTTTGAATATTTTGCAAATTTTTTTTTAAATAATAATTTATAAATGCACATTATATGCATATATGTGTTTTAACTAAATCAAAAAATCCAACTACAAAATAACTCAATTTAAAAAAGAAACAGTTGACGGTGTTTCAAAAAATAATTTTACAGAAATTATAAGAAAGAAATTTTGTTAAAAAATTGTATAGAAAAAATGTTTATAATGGTTACACTACCATTTATTAATACAATCACTTCAAAATGTGTTAAAAGTGGGCTGATTTTTATAGAATCTCAATTTAAAATGCTTGTAAAATGTATAAAAAAAACATTGTAATACATTTTTATAATTATGAGTCAACAAAAATTGTAAAAAGTGTTATTATAAAGAGGCAAAAAGGAAAAGAAAAAGTGTTAAATATCCTTAAAAAATGTGAAGTTGTGAATCATGAATCAGGTAGCGGATATTTTTGCTTGGAAAAGAAAAAAACTTTACTTAAGCTTAACTAAATGTAGCTAATTCAATATCTTATCATATGCCAAGTTTATAGATCAGATTTCGGAACTCATTAAAAACTCTGTATGCAGTATTTTAGCAACATAATAAAAACACGTATTTGTAAAAACAAAACCATCTCAGCGGTGTGTTAAAAAATAGGAAATTACATTTTGGCCGTGAGTAATATGTTGTATGCTAATATTATGCGAAGACAGTCAACGGGTATCCGAAAAATATGTTCATAATGTGGTCGATTCGCCTATTGACAACAACGGCGTTGGATTATCGGTAAAGACAGACGGTCATCCCTAATCGTAGCCACATCCTAATACTAAAAACTCAATTTTTAAATACAATTTTTGCTTTTACAATACGTTTATTATTTGATTTATTCATCCGAGTGATTTTCGTTGCAGAGTACAAGTGGAGACGACGGTTCATACGAAATTTTGCATGGAGTAGGAGAGGTCGTTGGAGGAAGCGTTAGAGGGGTCAAAGATGCAGCCGATTCGGTTACATATTATGCAGGAGAGGCCGTTGGAAAAACCGGCGATGGAATACAGAGTGTAGGCAATGCTATGGAACACGGCAAAGAAAACATTGAAAGTGGATTCGGAACGGCTGTAGACAAAGTAGAGGATCTCCCTGAGAATGTCGCTGAGAATGTCGCAGATACGTACCACTACACTAAAAACGGCATCGAGAAAGTCGGTCAAAACATTGGTGATAAACTTTCTTCCGAGCAAGATAGTTTCAATGCTGGATACCACGACGCAAGAAATTAAATAATACATTTAAAAAAAACATAATATTCATTGACGTACTAAATATTACAAACACAGATCAATTTTACAGCGCAAATAATTGTGCACCTAATTTATTGGAAAATATTTTTCTAATCAGTATACCAAACATTTGGCATCCACAAAATAGGGACATTGTCATACTTCAACGTTAAACTATTTGAAAATTGCGTTTTTCGAATATTATGTAGAATAATAAATTACTAATTTTATTTGTTTGTTTTTATTTGTAAAATACACTGTTTGTTTTAATTATTTCCGCTACAAACAAAAATAATGTATTCTAATTATTAGTTTATACCAGCAATTATTATCAGCAGGTCTGATAAGGCATAATAATCACAAATATACCAATTATTTAGTCTTTTAATTATTACCAAATTGAATATTAGATCTAGCACTAACACGAATGATTAACATGTGTTTTTGGGCACTGGAAATTATTTTTGCATCGTCTTGTCATACATATTTGACGATATTATAATATTAAATATTGTCCGATGAATTAATTGACAGGTATTTCTCTACAGATAATAGTATATCACTTAGTCAATTGCAAATCGCAAGCCAGTTACGTCCATTTTAAATTAAATTACCTCTAATAATTTAATTAAGATGTTTACTAAAATTCAGTTAATATTAAAAACCGTTGTATTATAAATTAAAATGTTAATTTGTTAAAAGTTAACAAGTAAAACAAAAACCACTTGTAAAACGAGTACAGTATAATAATTTGGATTGTATTTTAACCTCATAATGTATCATTTTCACAGAGATTACTTATAGTTTTATAAAAATATATTTTTTTTCTTAAATGAGATATTAGTCTGTGGCCAAATTTGTAGCGCAACACAAAATAGCTCTATAGTTGTATAGACTAATTTGTAAATAAGTTTTCAATTTCACATAAGCAAAAAAAAATTCTTCTTCCTAATGTCAGAACTGGATAGTAATTAAATTGAAATTTGGTTTTTGTAATTAAGTGCAATTTTTAAAAATTGAGTAAGTTTTCACGTAAATACATTTTACAACAGAGTAATTTGCAAATTAAATAAAAATATTCCAGTCCAGTATAAACCAGCACAATCCAAACCAAGCACAATATGAACTAACAGGAAGAATTAGCCAAAGTGGGCCACTGTATCCACAGATACGCAACAAAACGTATTCTTAAGTGTGATTTTATAGAAACTTTGCGCCTACTGACTACCTTTATTTTTGTTGGTTGGGGCTATATTATACAAGTCGTCTTTTTAAAAATATTTTTGTCAACAATCATTATTAATTGTATTTGCACAATTTCCATTAATTAGTTTTTAATCGACCCGATCTGTACCACAGCTGTTGTTATCGGCTTAGGGTAACTAAAATAGGATAATAGTGTAATATTTTGATTAAAGACCATTGAGATTTCGCATTAGTGTGCATCGATTGTTGTGCCTGGTTTGATAGTCGGCGAGGTCGGATGATTGTTAAGTATATTATATTATGTACTCACGATATGCATGCAATTTACTTGCATCTTCCGTAGTTGGTAATGACTTAACAGCAATCCATTAGACTCTTTTTCGAAAGTTTATCTTATTCCCGTATTATACACATAGGTATTATATATCGTATTCAAGAAGGTTGCATTGTGGTATTTAAATAGAAATTTAATAAGCGCCAGAAAAAGAGACATTACTGAACACATTCCGTTTTTTACTGAAATTTCTATGGAGTCATTACCACCTACTGAAAGGTTAGTAAATTCAGGCGTTTTTTTATATTATTAAAGCCAAGAGCGAAATTAGTGTATAATTTATTAATGATAAATTAACATAAAACATTAAAACGGATAAAGAAATATCATTACAAATTGTTGGAGGTTTCATTATCTTTAGTAAAATAAGTTATTAATATAATATTTCAATATCTGTTTTCACGTGCGCCATACCTAAAAGTTCCTATCTGTCGTTTTTTGGTACTTTTTTTAATTTCTTTATTTTTATTTTATAATTTCTTTAATTTCAAATTTTCAAACAAAAAAGAATACAAAGAGATAGGATTGTTTTAAAATTACGATACACTGAACTAAAATATTAGGTTTCTGGCCTAAGTGACATCCTCCAGGTACATTAAATACAAATAAATTTTTAAAGACCACCTTATTTTATATATATATATATATATATATATATATACTAAGCGTTTATAAAAAATCATTATAAAAATACATCATTACTACTAATTGTAAGTCATTAAATAGAGTTTATAAATATATTTTAGCTACGAGAATGTAAGCAAACAGCGTAAATGTTATTAATTTTTCAAAAGTAGTTAATTTCGGACTGCTTTTCTAACTCTACCTTTGCACTTATACAGGGTGATTCTTTTATCACGAACCAGTCAATATCTCACTGAGATTATCTAATATTAAAATTTTTTTTTTCATATTGTTTTTACACAATGTGATCTAAATTTTTCACATTTTGTTTTTGTTTTTACCCCCCTTCCATCTTAGATTTTTCTAAACTTAAAACAAAGTTTTAGTAACGTACATATTTTATTACCATTTTAAATAGAGAATAATGTATTACAAAATTTGACTGGTCGATAGCCAGTTTTGAATAACTATTTTTAAACTTATAAGAGTTTAAAAATAAGGATGGGTGGGAAAGTGCGGTTGGGAAATGCGCGCAGGTAAAAATAATACTACACTCCACTTCCCCTCCCATCCTAACTTTTAAACTCTTATAACTTCAAAAATAGTTATCCGAAACAGGTTATCGATTAGTAAAAATTTGTAATACATTATTCATTATTTAAAAAGGTAATAAAATATATACGTTCCAATTTAAGTTTCAAAAGTTGCTATTAGAAATTCTAAGTTAGGAGGGGGTAAAAACAAAAAAAAAATGTGAAAAATTGAGATCACATTGTATAAAAACAATAAATTGAATGAAAGAAAAATTAAATTATTAATTAAACCCAGCGAGATATTGACTAGTTCATAAAAAAAGAATCACACTGTATACAAATGTTTAAGAAGCAAACTTATAGATTAATGTATGCGAAGAATAACTTCTGCAGAAAAAGTTTTGTCATAAGTATAATGTTTTCAAGGATTTTGAAAGAAACCAGTTTAGGGGGAGAGTGTTAACCCCGCCAAACATTTAGCAGTGGGGAGGGATATTTAGTAGGTCAGTTAAAGGACCCCCCTCCCCCCTAAATGGTTTTACAATAAGTTTCACTTGTTGTCTCTTAATAATTATTTCCTATCTCGCCTACACTATACAGCTTACTGAAACCGATAAACCTGACAACTTAATAACTTATACTTTTATCAACATAAATATGTTGATAAAAAAATATAAAAACAAGATTTTAAAGTGTCATATTTTATCTTATGTATCCTTTTCAAAGATAAAATAATAATAATTTGTGTTAAGTTAAAATTGTTTAAATCAAAAATTAAAATGTCTTATACTAATCAAATAATTCTTAAAAAATAATTCGTTACCTTCCAATTTTTTTTTAAGAAATTAATTTTAATCTTTTTAAATTTCAGTTTGAATATATGTGCAATTTTGATTAAAAGCCTGAGCTTTAGGAAAACATGGAATAACCTTGTCAATTATATATATATATATATAAAATAACTGCTTACGTCAAGCAAACTGTAAAAAAACACGTACAATAAAATTAATGTAAAAACGTACCTAGTTCAAATATTGTCTTATTGGCGTTTTCGAGTCAAACTATATTATATCGACTATACCTAACCTAACCTTTTAGAACACTAAATCTACAGTTTATACTACTTTTTACTAAATTGTCACCATAAGCTAAAGTAAAAGTATTAAACGTTTAAAAAGAGTGCGCCATATTACTGTTTGGAACCTTTCGCGGTGGAAATGTATCTCCGTCAAGTATGGCTGTTCTTGATGACAACAACGATTATGTCTCAAAATGTGTGTTTCACGTATGCTTGTATCGGTCCACAATTCGTAAATAGTTATACTTATTTCGAGCATTACGAAAAGCTGATGGTAATCGATACAGGATACTCTGAAGAATTAAAACCAAACGTGTCAAAAGAGGAAGCTATTGAAAATCCGGAAAAATTATGGCACGCGGTTGATAAACTATACCATCAACTATTATGTAATTACATGTTCGATATGATTTATTATATGAATTTACTAGGACTGCTTTTTTCAGAAATCGGTGAAGCAGAATTAGACGAACTTGTCCTAACAGACGATCACACCGTTGTTTTTCTAAACGTAAATTGCATTAATTTGTTGAACGTGTTGTACCATTTCGGTATGACGGACGATATGGGTCCGATTTGGGTAGTTCTCATGTTTTTGAAATATTTGATATTGATCGACGAGGATGACATAATGTCTAGGCTGCAACATATTATAGAAGACCATCGGACTATTTATAAGCAACTTGAAGACATGCACAACAAGCAAAATTGCCAGACGGAAAATATGTACAACGATCTATTTGGTGAGTCCGAATACTCCAAACGTTTAAATGCACTCAGTTCGAATCCACAACAGTATAAAATAGTTGACTTCATAGCAGCCTTGAGAGAATCAATTTATAATAGATACTTACATGTTTCTCGTTTAATGAGTATTGACACTTCTTGTCAAATCTACTTTTCTGGTACTCACTTGCGCTTGCAGCCATTTTGGACTCGAGAAGAATTCGTAAGACGTTTGCTGGTCGACTTTGCAGAGATAACTGAATGGGAAGATATATACGAACGAATTAAAATTGTATATGAAAATAGACCATTCTACTCGGTTAGGGAGTTTATCGAAAACGTGTCGAAATCGCACAGTTTTTTTATAAACTTAGTGAAATTTATATTGTTTAACATCCTTTGGAAACACATGACGTTAATTAACTTGTCTTTGCCTGTTGTATCGGACATCGAAGAACAACCACATAGACTAGGGCTTCCGTGGAATGATCACCATACGGCTGTTCAGCAGATAAGTGATTTGAATAATTTTACGGCTAGATATTTTAAAGCAAATATTGATTATTTTAAATTGAAAGACGATTTAGAATTAGCATTTATTGATTATGTGATGAAAACGCCAGCGAACCGAATTACTGATGTGCAGGTAAACAAGAAAATAAAAGAATGGCTATCGAACAATATGGATGAAATTTATTCACGGGTATTTGGATGTGAAACAAAGATAGAAAGATCATCCGGCCGCGTCTCCAAAGAATATATTGTACAGCGAATGGAGATCTTGAATGAAATAAGCAGTGATTATGAAATGGATATATTACAACCTTTAATTGAAGACCAATTAATGAATAATAACAGTTCATTTGAAAGTGTATATAGTAATGTTTTGTTTTATTGCTTTGTGACAAGAGTTCTTTTTGCTGACCAAGATATGAAAATAGAGTTTGATGTTATTTGGTCATTCGTAAAGTTTTCTGATGAATTTTTGGGTATTACAAACAGTGTTGAGAGTTATTTAGTTAATTTTATCTAGAAACATGATATGTAAGTTATCTAGATAAAACTTCCTCATATTTTATCTTATCTAGACACATATTTAAATTAACCTAACTGGTTAGGTAAGGTTATCTTTATCTTATATAGATACTGTTTTTGTTATCTGTGCTCAACACTGATAACAAGTTATTTAACTCTAAAGCGTTTTTAAAATTGTTTATATAAACAGCGTTTAGTGATAGTGTTAAATGTTAAATTTATTTTAAAATAAAAAAATTAAACAATTATCGCACCTTCTTTTTATCAAAATATTTGTAATACCTGGTTTAATAAAATATTATTACTGTGCACTGTATTTTGTACTAAAATTAATAAATTATTAGTGTTTGAATTGTTCTTTTTTAAATTATTAAATTGTTTACAGATTATTTAGAATATAATACATTTTATTTTATTATTAGTAGTATTATAAATTACGTTTAATTAGATTTCGTGGTAACAACAACGTCGATATATTAGTATTTACACAATTGTTTATCATACATACAAAATAGTGGGAATAATCATTTATATTTTATACAGACAATACGTGGATGATATGAACAAAAGGTTTGGAAATGGTTGATTTTTAAAGTGGCTGTGGATTTATTTAAAAGTTTCGACTTTTATACATTATTGGTGTATCGCACGATTGGAATTGAAGGTCAGATGGCGGATACTTACGTCTTGTCTACATGCATTGTTTACTTCTCTCAAAATGATATGCTATTTCTCACACAAGACCAAAGAAGATGCGCAAAGAAATCCTGGAGTTTGTTAGACCCTTTAAACGTTTAAACCGGAATCAAGTTTCTAACTTAGCTGGCTTTGGCACCTACGATAAAGTCACATGTGAAAATGACCCTTTTAAGTGTAAGGTTTTGTGTTCCGGCAAACGATAACAAATTAGTTTTATGAGGCGTTACACGCACATGAAACAGTTTTTTGGGTTTTTCCTTAATTAAATAAAAGTTTAGGTATAGAATTTTGTACATGTTAAGTATGTGTTATAGCGCTACTTTATAGCTTCACCGTTAATCTAATTTTCAGATCTTCAGTCAAAAAATTACGATTTAAAAAGTGAAATAAGGAAATACGTTTTAAACCCTTCTAAGGGAAAGAGTTTTTGGTATTTTTTTTATGGAAAAGTCATAAGGTACAAAATACCTTTAACAAAGCTAAACACGGCGTTAAGAATATCGGTCTTAAAATTTCCAACGGGGTTTCTTCCGAGAAAAACGCCTTTACTAGTGGATTCAAAAAGGTGAAAAATTAAACGGTTAACGTAAAAAAATACAAACTGATTTTCCAATGAAAATGGTATACCTAATTTATTGTTAAACTGTTTTGCTAATCTGTTTACCAAACACTTGGCATTCGCAAAATGGGAACAATGACATACTTTAACCTTCGCGTTAAACTGGTTCATGTTTGTTTTTTTCGAATATTATGTAGAATAATTAATCACTATATTTATTAGTCTAATTAACATAGAGAAAAACAATATGATAAATTAGTAAAATATATCGTTTAAATCATTTTCGTAGTAAACAAAACTACTCTATACTAATTCAACTACGTCTGAAATAACTACCAGCAGGTCTATCAACGTAATACCAATTATTTGGTATCGGGCAGTTATCTATAGGCAGTTATCCTAAATATTTAGACTTAAGTCATTACGATTCATCACCTCTTATTGTAATTTAAGTTTTAACACAAGGTTTTTAACGTACATTTAGACGGGCTTAAAGGACAACTCGAATAAAATAGGTAACAAAGTGTACTACATCAACGCACTTGGCCGAACATATCAACGTTAAGAAAAAAAAGTTGTGTCAAGGTTTCACTTAGTCTGTCTTGGACGGTTTCCAATATTCGCGAAGCCACGAAAGTGAAACTGTTTATAGGGAAACGCATAGTCTTAAAAGCGCTAAATGTTAAGTTTAATATTAAAAAATTAGAGCAAACCCTAATGTAAAACCAATAAAATATAGATCAGCCGATTTTCCTTACTAGATATTTGTGCTGAATAAATGCTAAACAACATATATCGCTTTGTCCCTTACTTCAATTTGTATCTTACGGAAACTATTAATTAAAATACAGCTGAAAATCGTTTTGCTTTGTTTTGTAATTATATAAATTTTATTAAAAATATCCATCATCAAGAAGATTTCATTTTTTTAAACAGTTTTTTAACGCGTACATAAAATACTTATTAAATACACCATTACGGAGCTAAAATATTTAAAGAACGCCGGAAATTTAACGTCTTACAACGTATAAATATCCGGGTAAAATAATTAACAATTCAGACGTTGATCACATTAACTATTGAATAATTAATAACAAGTCATTATTTTAAAGAAGATTTATAATGATTTGTTAGGTAATTTATAAAGATGTGGTACAACTAATAAAAAAAAAAAATGTAACAAAATGTAAGTGTTTCATTAATGATGCAATCATATTTTCGCATCGTCTTAGCTAAAATATTTGACTACATTATAATGTAAAATTGTATCCGGTAAATTCATTGACAGGTATCCCTGTACAGTCAATACTGTATCACTCGGCCATTTACAGATCGCAAGCCAGTTAAGTGTATTTTAAATGAAATTACATTTATTCTACTGAAGATGTTCACTAAAATTCAGTTAATACTATAAACCATTGTATTATCAATTAAAACGTTATTTTGTAACAGGTAAACAACTAAAACTAGTATAGTTGTCTGTTTTGGATTGTATTTTAGCATAAGAATATAATGTAGTTTTAGAAATTGTATGTAGTCATTTTCACGTTACAATATTCAAAAATGATTTTAAATATTTTAAAATATTAAAAAATTAGGGATTAGAGATAAAAGATAACATATCCATGATTCAATGTTTATCCGTGGAATGGAGAAAATAACTAGTTTTTTTAAAATTAGAACATATGTTCTTAATACCATAGTTATGCATAATTTTTTTTACAAAAATGTTAGCTTTTAAATTTTAAATTTTCATCACCCTGTTCGTTTTCTATTACTTTGAAAAGATGACACTCACCCCATTATAATTGTCGTATGTCATCGGTTTTCTAGTAGCCCACAAAGATCGTATTTATGTTCGCATTGTTTCGCTAGGTGAAAACAACAACGATGACTAGACACAATGAATTGTTTTGAGATAATGATCGACAAACGGTTCTTGTACCTTATATTCAATCACAGTTATGGTGACCGATGGTATAGTGTTATCGACGGTGATCAGTATTATTATTTAATGGAATATTGCTTTGCTACTGTTGTAAAAACCGAACGGACATTGATCTTAAATCCACATCTTTACAATGTCATAGCAAACGAACCGATTGATGCAAATTTAAATTTTGAACCCTGCCACTTTTTAAAATGTCTGTCTACATGAAATTAAATTTCATCGGATATTTTCCGAGGTACCATTAGTTGGTTTCCTCTTTTCCAATGCCGAGTTAACGGCGGAATCGTACGACGCTATTGCCAAGCGTTTTTGAAGAGATAAAATATTAGAGGGGTGGCCACGGGAAACGGGAGGTTTAATTTATAAGCGCGTCCAAGGGAAAAAAATGAAAATAAATAAGAAAGGCGCAACGATTGACTTTATTGTGCGTGCCGTCGAAAATTTTCGGGTAAATCGAATTCGGATGTTTTCGAAATGACGGATTGTCAGAGTCATCTAACTAAATTAGCGTCAACCACCGTGGCCCGGCGCTGGCGTTTGCCCACTACGCCTGCGTCCCTTTGCCTTGGGAATACCGCGCGTGTGTGTGTGTACTAGCCGGGAAATCCGTTTTCCGTCGGCGGTCGGAAAATCAGCGTGTCAGTTTCCCGCTGGCGCCTTTGGTGTTCGCGAGCGCACTCTGCCTCTCTCTCTCTCTCTCTCCCTTCCCGTAACGAGCTCGACGTGTGCAACGACATAATAGTGTATAAAAACCGTTGAAAAAAATAATATAAATAAAACCAAACTTAAAAAAACCTTTCCCGCCATGTTACGGCACCGGCGATGCCGGGGTCCAGGCCGTTGACGTGAACATCTCTAACCGGCAAAGTTAAGTCACGTGTGCTTCACGAGTGCCGACAATGTGGTACGCGGTGATCTCCGTCCTGGCAGCGTGTGCACTGTGTGTCGACGGTCAATTACAAGAATCAGGTAAAAAAAAAAAATTAAATTAAATAAAGCAGCATAGTTGGGACGGAGCGTATTGTGGGTGGGGGAGGTCACAGGTGATTAGGAACCATTAACAGCACAGCTGAAAGTCATAATATCACATTGAAACAAACGCTTCGATGCGAATCTCAATAAGATGGTAGGAATTTCGTTTCAAGATTCAAGCGTTATGAAGACCAAAATATGTTTGACATAATTGTAGGTATTAGGATTTAGAATACAATTTGGGTTTTTCATGTTATGTAGCCCTACTATGGATCTAATTTCCAAACGTTTTGTTTCAAAACTTTATCTAAAAATGATAAATAAATAAATATGGTCTCTTCTTTTTGGAGTTTTGTGACATTTTTTGGTTTGTCTCTTAAAAGTTTGACAATAATTCAACTTTTTCTTTAAAAGTGGTTGCGCACCCTAATTTTAAGGGGAAATATATGTACATATTTTACGAATTTGTACAGTAAGGGATGCGAACTTTTTTCATTTTGCTTGAATGGAGCATCTTTTAGGTACAATTTTCAGGTTTGCTATAAGAAGCAATCGGATCATCGGTTTAGAATATATTATCGTTGATCTAAATAGAAATTAAAAAAGACAATTATAACAAATCATACCTTCGATTTTCGAAAACAAATTTAAATATATTATAACACCAAGTATAACGTTTGCCAGATAATCAAGAAAAGTGAATTAAAATAAAAAACAGCCGGTTTGTTTTGAAATCTAATTTTTACACAGGAAACGACTATGGGGGTTTTAACCATAGTGGTGTAAGTCAAATTTTCGCGAAGACGACTTAAGTGCAGGACTAATATTTTGAAAAACTAATTTGTCGATTGACAGAGTAAAGTGAATCTCATTCCACTGTAGATCATGGTTTTATTCGATCACTATTATATCATTCAAGAATGTATTCTAGAACTTCTATTACAACCCTTCGTTTCATTAATTTCGGTTTATGTGACTCGTCCCGTTATAGTTTCAACTCCCTCGATCATAGACCGAGATGTCACGAGCATGTTGAAGGTTGGAAAAGAAACAAAATAGTAAAACCATAATACTGTATTGGGTAAGAGAATACCGTTGTAAACAGTTCGGTTAAAATTGTATTGTAAAAGTCAGTATATATAACTTTACGCCTTATTTGATAAAAAAATGTTGTTAGTCTTTTATAGCTACAAAAAAGCTATATTTATCAAAATAAAAAAAACACTAAAGTAAAACGTGTATTTTTCGATGATGCTTCTTGATTACATTTTTTTTAAAATTAAAGAATGCTGTATAAAATTGAGCCGATTTTTTTTGAAATACCTACTTCAGTTGGGATTATTTTCTGTTGTATAATAGAAAAGTATTATTCGTAGTCATTTTTTTTATCTTAATATTATGTTTTTAAAACATGTATAATTTTTGAAACACACTATTAATGACAGTTCTTAATTAAAATAAAGTGTACAAAATCCGAGTCAATAAGTTAAGCAGATATAGGTAATACTTTTTTTTTGTGTGAAAAATGAAAAAAATTGGTCTCCTCGGAAATGTAAATATTAATAAATATTAATGATGGAACTACTTTTTTTTTGAGCCAATGTTTTGTGCAATTCGGCTTTATGTTTATTACTTTCTTTCTGTTTTTACCCAATCTTTTTCTTCGGAATGGCCTATTCGAACATTAAGTAAGCTGAACGCGTTCAAACGTCTTGGGAATGTTTTGGGGTATGTTTCCGAATGTCCGGTCTACGCCAAACAGAAACAAACGACTATGTGCTTCGTGACCGTTTCGGTTTCACCTCGGCGGAATATTATAATATTTCATAAGCCTTACCTAGTCCACCCCGAAAGCGTCAAGGAAGTATAAAATACAACTTTATGTATTCTCGCAGAAACGCGAAAAGAAAAGAAAAACCACTTGACGGAGTTTTTAACTTTTATAATCTAATTAACTTGGTGGTTTCGCCGGGAATAATAATAAATTTACACTGTTGAACATATTTATTATTTTTTTTATCATGAAAATGTATTAGCGTTATACGATGGTGTATTTTGATCCCTCGTGTTACATCAGGAAGAGCATAACTATACAGATATTATATTATTTATTGAATAAACATGACACTGGCATTTTGGCGATCTGCACATACATTTTGTTTACGGTCGGTAAATTATAAAATTGTCGCTTAATTTATTATTGTACATTATCAACTCGAGGGGAAATGTTATAAAATCTTAAGATTCTAGATTTTTGTAAAAAATCAAAAAAATCCTTAAGCACCAATACAGAAGTGAATACAACTGTAGAATTATTCAACACTTACAATTTTACTTTGAATTATTTAGAGAAAAAAAAATACCGAAGCTTTGATTGGAAAACATGTTGTCGCTAGATTGAACACAGAATTTTTCAAAACTTATTTTTTTTCTAGATCATACAAAATTAAAAAAAAACCTATCTAGTATAATTAAATAACGGCTATCCAACCGGCAAAGGTGTACTACTTAGGACTTTAGAGCCTTGGGACGATTTTCCGCCATCGTGCTTGAGTAGGACACCCTTTTTATCTTGTTTATTTCTCTAACCAAGTTAACGATGATATTCCTAGCTTATAGTCTCTGGAGTCAACTGAGGTCCAAGCCACACCAGGTTCTCCCTTAAATCCCCAAGTTTTAGGTTAATATATATATATGTATATATTTAATTTTAATTAGTAAGCCATCGAGCACTACGAATATAAAAACAGTAATCGTGTTAATTAGATGTTTGACAAAAATTATGCAGAGCTTTCAATGTTCAACCAAATTTCTTTTTTTCTGATTACAAATTAATTACGCGTTGGTTGAATAAACACAACGTGATTTGTATGCAAGGTTTTTTTTTAAATTTAATTTAATTAGACAGCATAATATTATACAGTGCATTCGATTACAATGGAATTATTACCACGGAATGTAAATAACTATAAAGCACTAATTAATCATCAAAAGTTTTCGCAGTACAAGAGATTTCAATATATGTTTAGTGTATACGAAATATATGCAGACACCGCGCTAAATGTTCTTGACAATGGCTTGAGTAAAAAACCCTTTGGTTTAAAAAGTTTTAAAATGATTGAACTGCAATTTTTAATAAAATAATAGTGGACGATTTTAAATTTAAAAAAAAAGTTTACTTACAATAATTGTAAAGGTATGTGACCATCAAAAAAAAACAAACATGAGGTTTGTTGTTTTTTCATAAATAAAAAAATGTACTTTGGTTCATTCGTTTGCAGTTTACCGGTCTACAGATAAATAGTGTTGGAAAACTAATTTTATCACATAAGCGAGATTTTTTTTACTATTAGATAAGAAAATGATAAATATGATTTTATTTACTTTGAAATATAATATAGGTAATATAATAATTGTAATGATATTGAACAAAGTTTTTTTTTGTTTATTATATAGCCTATATTATACAATATTTAGCTCGACAATTATATTGAGAACGATTGAGTTATAATATGTTATATTACATATATACAAATAATTAAATTCAAGTAACATTATTAAATTATAACGATTGTTAATCTTTACAACTAAATAGAATAACAGGATAGAAAATTAATGGTAAAACCAAACGAAAATGTATAATTATAAAAGTGATTAAAACGAGCTAATTAAATTGAAAGGCCGGTGCTCTTCAGCAAAGAAAGAAATGAAAAAAATGACCGAAATTGTACAAAGTTCCCAACAAAAACTATTCCCGTTATCGGTATTGGTTTTGTTTGTGTCTTATACCAACTGAATTATAATACAGATGGTTTTTTTTCTTCCAGTAATGTATTTTTAACTATCTGCAACTTTTTCATTTTGTTTTACAAACGTATCTGAAAACCGTAGTAAGACATTATGGTTGTGTTTCGACAATGGTCTGCCAGTTTGATTTTGTTGTGAAGTAATCAAAACTTTTTCGTCATTACTTCTCTGTATCTCACAATTATTATTTTTGTGTACAATATAATATTTTGTTTTTTTATCTTGCATTTAACAATGACGTATTTTATTTAAATATTAAAACAAAAAGTAGTTTTGTAACAATGTTTCAAGTATGATAGCTGTTGTTTGTAAAAGATTCTGTACTCGTGTTTGATCGACTACATTTTTTTTCTCATATTTTTTTATTTTTAATTCAGACGATCGCTGTAAAACTTAAAAGAAATATGACTTCGGCAAAAGAAATCAGAGTGTTGGCTGGTGGCTCGTCCATTTAATGGCTTTCTTTTAATACCTATGATAATAATATGTCATAACTTTGCACGTCACGATATATTGCTTGTTTTTGACTACATATAAGCAATTTGGTCGATAAAGAACTGCTTCATAAAATATATTATTACATAATAAACAGTAGGTACCTACATAAAAATAATAATTTAGAAAACTACCTTTATGTAATAAGTGTATCGGATTTGGGCATAAGTATACAAAAAATAAAAAGCATTAAATTTATATTATGTTTAATACGTAAAATATAATATATTTAATACATATCTTGTATTTTGCAATCAGAACAGTTCTTATACATATTTATGACAATTTTCGTCCAAATAAACAAATATTTTTTATTAAAACTTTAACGCTGATTCTCCATTAAAATATTATCATATTTCTTTGACATAACGGATTAAAAAAAAAAAAAAAAGTTTTGTTTAAGAAGAACAACTTATTACTGCTTTCTTTTACTCGTTTCATTAAAATTAACTTCCATCTCGGGTCAACTTAAAATGTTCATTAATCCCCTTATCGATATAAATTAGTGAGGGTGGAAATTATTACTTTCTTAACAAAATGTAAATACCAAAATAATTATGATACGGATAAAACGAACTGGAAAAAAATCGTTAACTCCGATAATAAAACTGTAACTTTAAAAAAAACCTATTTTATTTATATGTAATTTGGAAATTATTATATTCGATTGGAAACATAAAAATACGAGTACACAT